ACCACCCATGCACAATAGCAGCTGTTTGAATCGCCTACACTATACACTGCAGAAATTCACAGAAGCTTCTTTGAGAGCACCTCCTAAACTCTGAACAATTTCTGTCTAGAAGAGTGAAAAGGATAGATCCAGGGTACTTTCCATATGGTATGTAGTTAAATATGGTGCATGTCCAAAAAGACATGGGTGTTTGAGCTCATAGATCAGGTGCAGAAAACAATCAACGCTAATGGAATACTGGCCTTTATAGTTAGAACGCTAGAATTTAAGGACACAGAAGTTTTGCTGCAGCTATACAAAACACTGGTTTAGACACCACTTGGAGTACTGTGAACAGATCTTTGCACCACACCTTAGAAAGGATACAAAGGCTGTGGATGTAGCACAGCATAGGTTTACAAGAATGATACCTCCTGAACATCAGGGGTTAAGTTATAAGAGGAGATTATAAAAATCAGGCCTGTTTTCTCTCGAATTTAGAAGGTTAAGAAGTGATCTGATCAATGTCTTCAAGATATTAACAGGAAATGACATAGTAGGTAAACTATTTCCACTGTTTGGAGATTATAGAACCAGAGGACAAAATCTAAAAATTAGGGCCACTTCATTCAGAAGAGATGTTAGGAAGCACTTCTACAAACAAAGAAAAGAATCACTTTCTGGTATCGAATCAGTGAAGGGTCTAGGCCCGAAACGTCAGCCTCTCTGCTCCTATGATGCTGCTTGGCCTGCTGTGTTCATCCAGCCCTGCACCTTGTTGTCTCACTTTCTGGTATATTCACTTTCTCACCAGATCTTTCAGAAAACATTGACAAAGGTATCACCTGCAATTGTATACAAACAACAACTATTAATGCCAATGGATCACCCCGAAAGGATGTTATTAAGAGGCTTAACTGCTGATGGAAGACCCCAGTATCTGCATTAAATACTATCCTTTATTTTTGGAGAGGTAACGTGTTTATCTATCAACTGCTTAAACAATTGGAAAAGTTTCCTGAAGCACCAAGAAAACTAAGAAACAATCCAATTAATTTCACAGACATTAATTACATCACATGTACAAAGTAAATTGCTAAACTGACTGCAGTAGTCAAGTTTTTGACAAAAAAAAAGTTTAAATTAATTATATAGAAGAGCAATAAGTGATGACCAACATCACATTAGTCCATTTACTTGGGATAATATTTAATCAAGTGTGAACTGATACCAGGGCAGCAGGGGAATTAAAACAGGGCAATCACCTATATCTCCTTAATCAATTATTTTGGGAGGACTGTGGAAATTATCGGATGAATGACTTCAAAGCAAATCGGATACAGAAGGAAATCAGGGAGAGAAACAAAGAATTATTTCATTTTTACAATTTCCAACAAGTCTGAAATAAAAGTGAGTCCACAGTTGTAATAGTCAGTTTTCAGTGCTGGGAGTGGTTGTGTGGGAGGAAGTGACACAAGATTGTTATGATCCCCATGTTGTTAGTCCTAGATATGTCAGATTCTGGAGTGAATTAGTGCAGAATATATACCATCCCTTTATGCAGAGTGCACACAGAATGTGACTTAATGTCTGGAACAATGGCAGTAGGGGTTGTTCAGAATTTATCCATAGATCTGAATGATTTGCTTCTTTGGGTTACCATTTGGTAGGAGTGAAAGTTGTAACTTGGCCCACAATCACAAAGTCCAAGTGAGGTTAAGGAGATGGAAAAGTTACAAGAACAAGTTGGAGGTATTTTTTTCCTTCATGCAGTGACTAGAGCATTGGCTAAGCAAAGTCTGTAACCGAGGATCAAAAATGAACGCACAACCAGGGAAGGAGGGAAGTCAAAACCTTCCTTAAAGATGCCAATAATCCAAAAGAAGTATTTTGTGACCCATCTTTAATTGAGACCCAGTAAACATACAGAGTGAAGGAAATTACAATCAGCTTCTCCTGAAGCTGAGGGAATTCCAGAGTGTTATGATGTCAAGAATGGGATTTTGATGAGGAAGTGGAGACTTTAAAAAACAGTTTAAAAAGACATTTGGAGGCATATGGGCCAAGCGCAGGCAGGTGGGATTAGTTTAGTTTGACACTATGGGTGGCAATGGACTGGTTGGATGTGCTATATGACTCCTTACGGACCTCCTCAAGTGAAGAATGGGTAGTTGTTCATCAGGAAGTCATACTGCCCAGATATCATAAAAAGATGGAAAGGAAAGGTGTTAATAGATTGTATAGGATCATTACCAAAATAAAACTGATTTACCAATATTATCTTTACTATAGTTGATATGACAATAGCCCTAAGCTTCCAAATGAAACTCTAAGAATGACTAACTCAGCTTAACATACAAAATATAAACTTAAAAGTTGTACATTGTTTTCAACATCTTTAAACAGATAATTAAACTCATGAAGAAGGCTATGCTCTGAGGCAACTATGATCACATACACAGTACAAGTTTGCATCATTGAATGTTGAGCCAGAATGTGAGATGCCAATCTTTGCAAAATTAATGTTGGAGGTACATGCCTCAGACAGGAATCTTTGAACATTTGTATTTAAAAATGAATCTCCTCTTGTCTGAAGTTGTTGCGCTATTTTCATACGATAACGGTGAATAAAATACTAGCTCACCTTTAATTTCATCAAATTTTGGTTATTCTTTTAATTGGAATTAATGCCTGCAAATAGCTTGCAAAGAAAGAATGTCACTCTAATTTGTGATACATTTTCTAGAAGGGACAAAAAGTAACTTAAAATAGAGTAATCTGGATTTTGCCATCAAATAATAAGTTACTGTAAAGTTGAATTGTAAAAACATATGAAATATTAAGCCGCAAAATTACACTATAAAATTCCAGTTTTTTGACCTCTATAAAATACCCAGTATTTACATATATTCTTAACATGTAACATATTTGCAGTGAAGCCTATATTTTTCAGGAATTTCACATTTTAAACAAGTTTGTTTTTGATAAAAGCAATTGGTAAATTTTTTTGTTTATTTATTTGCAAACACAACAGTAAATACATCAATACCTAAGCTCATATTTTTGCCTCAAAAAGCATTTTTCCATAATGAAAACATCAAAGCACTTTATAAAACATCTGTTGATATGCATCCATGAACTACAGGAAATTTGTTTATTCCCTTTTCTTCACAACAATTGATAATAGATGAAGTGAATAGGAGCTTTTAGTATTAGTACTACAGGCAGACTTACCTCTGTTTGTCAAATTCATGACAAAACCATGATTCATAGGATTACCGCCAGCAAAGTAAATACTGAACAATTACCAGCAATTACCAGAGTAAATATGTGGCAAAAATCTGTAAATAAAGTAAGTCATTTATGGATACTTGAAATAATTTGCTTCAAACAACCTTATTAATATTTGAAAATTAATTGAAGTAATTCTATAACTGCCAAAGATAATTGCTTTCTCTTTGAAGTCTTGGAGTATGCCCATCTTAATTCAATTTAAAAATAAAACAGGATTTTGTTTCATTTTGAAAGTGAAATCTGGTAGTTTCATTTATGTAATTTTGGTTAATTCAGTCCTATTCTAGAACCAACTGTACAACTTGGTGTAACTGATAGAATATTCACTTGTATATTGAGAAAGAAAACTTTTAAAAAATTGGTACTAAATAGCACTCTTGTGACAATATTTGAGTCAGGATTTCAGAACATGGCAGTAACTTAAGTTGTCAAGCGATCAGTATTTCAAAATATATATTACTTCTTGAAGCAAAGGAGATGCTCCTCAACAAATTTGGGAAAATATAATAATTTCAAACAACTTTTTTTTTCCTGAAGCCAAAGTGTTAAGGACTGAAAATTAGCTGCTGTAATAGGATTTATTGTAAAGTTAACAGTCAAGTAAAATAGAGAAAAGTCAGTTTCCTTATCGGATGTTGTATACAATTGAAAAGTGACCGTCCATCCATTTAGTTCTTATGCAGTTTGAAAGGATAATCTATAATTACTGAATTTTCCTTTTACAGTATCATAGCATCATTTAGGAATTCTGCAGCAATGTAGAAACTCTAATGGCTTGCTTTCTTTGATAGGACCACTTCTCTAATCTTTATTCTCCAAGCTGTTGTCTCATTAATGTAATCTTTGGTCACATTCATTAGTTTACAAATCTGGGAAAACTGTGTACAATCTATTTTTATTTAAAACACACTGGTTGTTATATGGATTGAGTTTCAATGTAATAATGCTTTGTTATATCATTTCAAATATTTTATTAATGCATCTTGGTCTTGTGCTTCTTGGTCTTTGGGCACAGTTTTTTTTCAACATCCAATAAGGGGAACCATTGGCGTGGATATTTTAGAATCATAGTGTCTTATGGCACAGAAAGAAGCCCTTCAATGCATTGTGTCCAGGACAATCATCAAGCATCTATCTACTCTCATCCCATGTTCCACAACTTGGCTCACTGACTTGTATGCTATGGTTCTTCACACCACTTTACATAGAACCACTTTCAGAAGTTACTAGACTTGAAATTATGCTATAACAATAATATTCAACTGCTTACCATGTTTGATCGATATTTTAGTTGTTAACCTGCTTATAATAAATATTTTAAACCTTGCTTAGATTGGAGGACAATTAAATTTTACAATGAATGTTAAACATTCAGACATCCTTATTGTACAGCATAATTTTGAAAACAGTAAATTAGGGCTTTTCTAATCATGTACCTTTCTATGAAGGAATTAGTTTTTTTGGGACTGAGGAGATGGAATGGGAAGTGTCTCCTGCTCCTAATGTTTCTTATGTTCCTGAGAATATGGCCTTGATATTCATTTCAATGTTGATTAGATTCATGATGCTACTAAAATTAAAAGGCAGATGTTCCCACATCTAGTTCCTATTTATGGGTACAGAGACTGTTGTAATATGATGAAAATTGATAATTGTGCATCTAATAGCAGCTTTATGTTCTAAAACAACAATAAAGATAACATTGAAAAAAATACTAAAAAGGGGAATGTGTTTTCAACTTAGAAACTGCACTAGAATATTAGCATGTTCCTAAATCATGAAATAAAACATTCTGAACCAAATAATCTGCCATACTGCTGTGAATTTCAGGTCACTATATCTGTTTCAACTACATTTATTTAAAAACTGCCAGTATGTACATTAAGGAACACACTGTACAATTCACTGTTAGAAAGCATTCAGTGTTCTGGTCTTTTGTGGTGACAACAATGGAAAAATCATCTTTTTTCTCGGATAAAATAGTGGAAGCCTTTACTTTCAGTCAAACATTGAATCTATACAATATTAACAGACACCATATTAACAGAAAAAAAATGAGCAGCATTTTTTTAAATAAAACATCCTCAATTTTCTACTCACTTTTCTCTTAGAACTATGTTAACCAACTTAAAACAGAAAAGCATGTACAACACATTTTCTCTCAAGACAAATTACAAATTATATCAAAATATCTACAAACAACTGTCTTGTGAAAAAAAAAATGTCCAAAGTAGGCATTGGTCTGAGAACAACTCCACTACAGCTGGAGCATGAAGGCCATGTGGCTAAAGGCATTTTTATTTCACATGTGGTGAATATAGTTACAGTTTAACGGCTTGTATTTGCACAGTTACAGCGTACAGCTCTGTTCATGAGGGCTATTCAAAGGGGACTGCCATATGTGCAACCTTTGACGATGTAGTTTCCCAAAGACAAACTCAAAAGCAGGCATTGCTTATTTAAATGTACACATTTAAAAAGAAAGTCAGAACTGGATAATTGGATTCTCAATAAATGTTCATCATTACCAAATTAAACAGGCCGAGTGCAGTGTTTTAACTTCATACAATTCCTGAAGAGTGCCAGTTGTTTATGTACAAAATACTTGATCCATTATGACTGTATTGAACATCTGATTGATTAAAACAAAAACAAAAATACCAAGTTTTCAGTGTGGTAAAACATTCTCTTAATTTTAACAGAATTAAATCCTTTTCTTTGCACATCAAAAAACTGTAGGTTTAAATTTAAGATAGCCATAATTACAAGTTATATGACCTTATTGTAAGGTAATTTATATTATTCCTGTAATGCATGTCTCTTATATCCTATAATTTGGACAGTTGGAGTCAAAAAAGCTGCTGATTGAGATTGTCTCGGGGAATGTTCAATGTGGGGCTATAATCATGAACAGACATCATATAAACAGTAGTTACAATAAATTCCCTGAAGCTTTAAGTCTTTCATTTTTCTGCACATTGTTTGAGAACTCAAAATTTTGAAGCTTTAATTAGCTTCTTTGAATTTTGGCTGCTCCATGTGCTGTCCTCGCTGTTCCAAAGTATGTCTGGGTGCATTTTGATCATCGTGTAATCTCGTTTCCAGGCACCCACTTTGTTCAGAACAGCATTTCAGCAAGATTTGGCACTGACAATAACAAGTGATCGCTTCTTCCAGACACCCTCTCCTGATGACAGCAGTTTCTTTCCTTTCCACATTAGAGAGTCCACTTATGTGCGAGATTGCACCTTGGGGCAAGGCACAAGTCACCAGTCACCAGTGCTTTAGGAAGTAAGCAAAGTGACATCACCGCAGCTTTACAGCAATCCTCTTTATCCTACGTTGACATGAGAAGTCATATCGAGGTCTCATCACTGCTACTGGGTGTGAAAAGAACAAAAGGAAAAAAATGCATGATCATGATTATATGCTGAAAATAGTGTGATGGAAATCAACTGTGCATTTCATAGTTGGAAGTATATGGCTGATAGTGAGATATTGTTTTAAATTAACTAAATGTTTCAATGGAGGAAATTAAAAAATAGAAATCTGTAAGTTTGATGAGGAGAGAAAAAGAGATACAAATTAGTTTAAAAAGTAAATACACTGAGGCATAGACACTAATTTGAATGTATATCACTGAACATGTTTTGAGATTTTTTTTGCCAGATTTCAGGCTGAAAACAACATTTATGTTCAATTTTAAAAAGATATAGAACAAAACTTGCAGAAAGCTATAGATGAGAAAAATCTATAGTGATCACTAAACTATTTCTTTGACAAAACTTGTCCTGCTCTTTAAAAGATGAATCAAGTAATTCCTAAAATACTTATAGTATCATTGAAGATTACGGCACAGAAACATACCATTTGGCCATTTGTGTTCATGCCAACTCTCTGGAAGAGCAACTGATCTAGTTCCACTCCCCCACTCTTTCCTCATAACTCTGCAAATTATTTTATTTAAGTTAATTATCCAATTAAACATGCCTCCATGAGTCTCTCAGGGACAGTATTTCAGATTCTAACCATCAGCCGTATGAAAAATATTTTCCTCATTCCATCATTACTTTTGTCAAACACCTTAAATCAATGCACTCTGGTTTTTGATCTTCTTGACCAACGCAAACAGTTTCTTCCTATTTACTCTATCCAGATACCTTAACATTTTGATAAACTCTATCAAATCTCTTAATTTAATCTCTTCTCCAAGGAAAACAGTTTAACATCCTGGTTGAAAGTTGAAAAACTACCCAAAAGGATTTGCAGATATTTTCTGTCCTCAGTAATCTTAACTTCTCTGTGGTGCAGCATGTGCATAAAACGTAACTGTAATAGAATGTCATAACTTGCCAAATATTATGACATCTAAAACATGATTTGATACTAAAGGGTATTAAGTGCAAGGTGTCACTGAAAAACTTCAACTGCCAAAGCAAGGTAATCTATCTCTTTGCAACCTTCGTACAATTGACCTGCACTATTACCATACATTATAATAAATAATGCAGATAAAAATGTTGAATAGTAGTGAATTACAGAAGATCAGTTGATGATTCCAGGTGAGAAATAGATAAAGAGAACCAATTCCAAAAATTGTTCTCAAAACTACACCATGAAATAATGTTCATGTTTACTTAATATATTGGAGTTAAAATTCCTGGCTCTAGTGTTATTTTAAGCATGTATTTTCTAAAATAGGGTCAGTATGAGTTTGCAATGTATGTTGTTGATGTAATTATCTTTGTTTTTTAAATCTTTCATGCCATTGCACTTCTTTTGCCAGAAGTATTGATGAAACATTTGCATGGAAACAACTGGATGCCAGCACTAGTATAAACAGTACAATTCAATTCTTCAGATTACAATGAGCTTTGACAATATTTAATGTTTTTTTTCTTTACTTCAGCAATTTTGTCAACATGCTGTGTTTTTGTTATGTAACACTGAGTGACATACGGAAGGGATACTCACTCAGACCCTGATGAATCTTCATCCACTGTGCCTGTTTTAATACTCATAGGTATGGGCATCACTCCATTCAATTCCCCTGTTGTTTGCCTCAGTTTTGTTACACCTCCTGACCGACTTCCTTCACTGGATCCTAATGAAGATGCTCGTGAGCAGACAGTGGCAGGTTTATGATTGGAAAGTTCGTTATGAATTCGATTGATGCTGTTTTTCTCTGAGAATAACGGCAATGCTTTATTTTTCAAAATTCCTATAAATTCCAAAAGGAAGATGAAAACATTTTACAACATAATTTACATAAAAGTTACTTTTTATTTATGAGTACAAATGTGGGATAATAAATGTAAGTGAAGTATGGCATATTCACAATGAAATTTTGTTTTTGAGAAACAAGAACAAAATGGTAGTGTAAACTGTAAGATTATCCCACATCTTAGCCGAAACAAATAAAAGCATTTTAAACATTATAGCTAAAATGTAAGTTAGAAGTAAGAATCAACTGTCAGTTTGGAACTAGTTTGCCCATTGTACTGGAAAAGACAATGATGGAGTGTAACAAGAACAAATAAAACAAACAAATTAATCACAAATAACAACATAAATTTTTTAACATTAAAAGAAAATTGTTTTGAGGGCAAACAAGTATGTTTAGTTTCAGTCTCACTATTGGAAATTGAAGGGCTTTCAAAAATCAAAAGGTTAAAGCAGAATGCATATACAGTAACGTTACGTAGCATGGTGGTATTTCAAATGTGCTGCATGAACCTTGTAAGATGACAAATGCAGCTTGATTTTTCACAGGGAAAATTGTTTACTCCTCATTTTTCCTTTCCTGAAGAGCAACTTCACTGTATTGGAAGAGGAGTTTAGAGAAATCAGGTAAGCATTCGGATGAGACAGTTTCCTTTTTAATAGTTGGTTATTAAATGGGAAACAGAGGTCCAGGAACAAAAACAACTCTCCCATAAATTAATGGCCCAGATTTTGTATTGAGAATAATGAGGAGGCTAACAGTGCTTGTCATTCTTATGGACTACGCCAGACAGCACTTTCTAGAGTAGACCTAAGCAGTTAAATTTGGAAAGTTGGAACTGAACGTCCAAGTTACACTGCTCCTCCACAAGTCGCAAAGGAACAATACTTTGCTCATGGGTTGGGTATTGAAATAGCAGACCATGTGATAGTAAGGCCTGGTGTCCAGAAAGCTGTAGAATTCCCAAGCAGAAAATGAGGTGCTTTTCTTCCGGCTTGCACTGAGCTTTGCTAGAGCACTGCAGCAAGCCTGAGACAGAGATGTTGGCCAGGGAACAAGTTCTTCAACACACCACTTTCTGGACTCAATGTCGAGTTCAACAATTTTAAGGCTTGAGGCACCTTCGCCCATGTCCTTACCCCAAGTTCCAAACACCAGGCCTTGTTATCACATGGTCTGCTATCACACAACCCATTGTTAGCAACTATTAGTCTCCATTAGCAGCCATTCATTCTCCTAGGATGACTGCTACCCACTCCTTTGTCTGTCCAACTGTTCTCTCTCCAGGCTCTGTCTCCACCTATCATTTTTTAGTCCTTACCCCCGCCCCCTACCCTACCAAAACCAACCTTTTCCAGCATCTGCAGTTCCTACTATCTCTTTTCCTAGCTACCTTTGGTTCTGAAGAAGGGCACAGGACCCCGAAACATTAACTCTGATTTCTCTCCACGGATGCTGCCAGACCTGCTGATATTTTCCAGCAATTTCCGTTTTTGTTTCTGATTTCCAGCATCTGCAGTTCTTTCAATTTTTTTTTACCTTTCTGAGGTTGTGCGTTAGGGTTAGGCAATGATAATGTATTTTCTTTGTACAAGCTATCTCCATTTTCCTTTGGCTTCTCATCCAAATGGTTAAGTTTTTCTCGGTGAAGCTCAATGTTTGCCACAGTTTCGACTTTCAAATTCTCTGACCCGCCATGACCTTCACTTTCACTTGCTGTTGTCATAAATTCTCCTGGCCAATAAGGTTTCACATGAGCAGATATGTTGTCCACTGGAAAATCAATTGAAATTTGTTTTAAAGGCAAGCAAATGAAAAATCCTGCTTTTCGTTTTCTCCAGATATGGACATCAACTTAAATACATACCTTAAATATGGTAATTAGAGAAAGATTTTCATTCATTTCTGAATATTTCACAAGACATTTCCAAATGGTTAAACTCATTAAATTGCCTCCATGTTGGAGTAGTTAAGCTTTGCACCTTAATGGGTATTTGTAATTTTTAATAAATAAACATGAAATCAAGATTGATAACAGCATGTAAAACCAAGTAACATTGATCAGCTTATTTGAATAGAAGTAGTCCATTCATAAATAGGTGCACTATTGGTATAAGTACATGACTGAGGTCACAATCTCTATATATATGGACCTAAAGTAATTAACACTGCCACATCACCATTCAAATGGTACAAAACCCTTGTTATTAAATTTAAAGCATATGTTACTAGAAATATAACATGATAGTTTTAATTAATGCTTCAAACCACTTACAGATTAAAAAAAAAACCTGCACAAGCTCTGAAATAAGACTACAGTGTAACTCTTCCAAAGAGCAACAGTCTACAATGGAATGTTACTAGCTTTTACTTTTTTCTGCCAAGACCATGTTCCACATTTTTGATTGGGACATCCTATCCTGACCTCCATGGAAATGCAGAGTGTATTGTAAATTGGACTGCTTTCTCAGAATGCTCTATCATTGGAGTAAAATAATGGAGTGGATTATGTAAGTGGGAAAAGGAACTGGGTGCGTGATGTAAGGTTGTAGCTGGAAGAGGTACATACTTGGGAAGGTTTTTTAATAACTTGATTGTGAAGTTAACTAAATTTTGGTATAAATAAAAGAAGAAAATGTATTGAAAAGACTCTACTCAGTCACTAGAACTTGTAAGATACTGGGGTTTAGTGCTGGTACCATGTACTGTCATGAATTGATTGAGGAAGTTTGAGCAGCTTTATAGTTACCTTTTGGAGTACTGTGGTGATGATGTTTTTCATTATTTGGGGATATAATTTTCTCCCAACCTGGATCTCCTTGAAAATCTTCTTCACTATCTGAAGAATGAGTGGAGGCATAAGACCCACTTTGGTCATCTTCCAGTGACAGATCACTGTCAGAGTCTGAATCGTGTTCTGTAAAGAAACAATAAACACTATATTTTCAGTCCTTCTGGAACAAAAAAGAAAAAACCCCTCATCTCCAGCTTATACTCCCTATGCCGTCATTCCCAAGCCTTTCCACCTCATGATCACCCCCCATGCCCCATCACACCTTTCCATGTCAACTTTGGCCTCCCATGGCTCTTTCTAGCCCTATGCCTCCATCACACAAACTCACAACAACCTATGCCCCAAGTTGTGAAATCAGTCATGCCAGACAAATCCTACAAGGATAGCCATCAGACTAATATCAATAGAGTGAAATAGCAAGCACCAACTTTTAAACAGTAGACTTTTAAAATTCAAAAACCTATAGATTTAAAAGTCCTGACAGTTCACATGACTTCACCCATTTTTTGCTCACATCATATCTGCATTTATAAATCCCAAAGGACACTTAACCTCTCCCAGGTGTCACTGGGTCTATCCGAATAAGTGCTTTAAATCTCTCAAGAATTTCAATAATTTTAATTGGACCTTCTCCTGAAAAGTGTACAGCCTACATCCCACTAATGAAAACTGAACCTGTTTTACGGCAGCTGTACATACCATCGTTTACCAAGGATATGCAACTGACAATCTCTCCTCAGTGTACCCGCAATGATGAAGTCAGATGCTGGATTTGGGACATGACTTTTGGAATTGCTTTCTGGCACCATGTTACCTAAGACACTCTCTCAATCCCGGTAAAAATTCAGGTTTATGATAACTGGAGGATCGTACAACTGAATTTCAGCAATCTCTTACATGTTATGAATGAAAATCTCTGTGGCTGAATCAATCCCTGCTACTGGTTTCGGGCAACTTGAGAGTACAAATTTTATGTAAAACGTACTGATCTGAAATTCTATTTCACTGATTGCATGACTGAAGAATATTTTGTTGTACTCCACCAATTCCCATGCATCACATTACTACTCCTGATGTATCAGCTATATATCACAAAATCTCAGCTCAAAAGCAATAACTAACCAGCTACATAACAAAATTAATGACTAAGGTACTTGCACTGTAAATGGGCATGTCTCCGATAATAACAAGAAAGAATATGGGAGAATTTAGTTGAATATACTCACTCAACAGCAGCCTTTAGTGCAATAATATTAACCTTTCAAACAGAAATATATTCAACCACTGAACATCCTGTTAAGTAGCAGGAAAGCAACAGAAAGCTGTTTTCCTATTTCAAAACATTATAAAAATATTTCCTCCATGTGATGATACACTTGCATTGTTTTAGCTAATTTTATGAAGACAATTCTGAATGGAAGAATTCCACCTGGATTACATATGCGCTAAATTCCTCTCAAGCAGCTATTATTCAGGATATGAAAATTTACTGGTACATCCTTTTCACTGCACTAATAGTGACATGTAAGTCAGGGATTCCATCAAAACCATTTCCCTGTTAATAAAGAGCACATAAACTTTTCTTTCCTTTATTTATCATTCAGAACCAGAAAAGATGCAAATCTATCTTACACCATCAAATATGCTGTTCATAAGGTTGGCAAAGGAAATTAGTCAGAATTTTCAGCACAATTAGCACAAAAGTAATAGAGAATTATTTTTAAGGGTTTAATAGTTCAAATAACTTGCATTAATTATAATGTATTCCTTCCCCCAACATTATTAGTTTATTTTGTTAAATGCTTTCATTTCTAATGATAAAAAGGACCTACTTTACAGCAATTCAAAGAATAAGTGACACATTCCTAAAGAATGGTGTTGTTATTATCCTATTTTTTATGGTTGGGTATTAAATGGTTTAATGTTTTCATTCCATTTTAATTACATTTGGCTGAGAAACAGTTACTAAATTAATTAACTTGGGCTTGCACATCTTTTAAAAGCTGTGTGTGAAGCCTGCACATTACCACCCATATGCCTTCTTACCATCTGGGTTTGTTTTAATCTCATGGAATAACGAAGTGGCATGGTCAGTGAGTGCAACATGGGCTTGACTTGAGGTACTATTATTCAAGGCGGCTTCTTCCCTAAAGAAAAAGAAAAGAGTAATTTGTCATGAACAGTGCAGCCAGTGATGTTAATACAGACACCTAGGGTCACAAATTTGACTGAAATATAGGAAAGGCTTCATCCATTCTTCCTTACAGGATCAACATGTTTTTATAGAACTTGTGATTTTTTTTCTCTCCAAAGAAAATATCTCAACCTCTCCAATTTATCTACGTAACTGACATCCCTCATCCCAACATTGAGTCTCTTGAATCATTTCTGCACTGTCTCTAATGCCTCCATTTCTTTCTGAAAATGTAGTGCCCAGAACTGGATTCAACACTCCAGCTGAAGCCGAACTAGTGGTTTGTACAAGTTCAATATAACCGCCTTGCTCTTGACCAATTATGCATCTGTTAATAAAGTCTAGGATAGTGCATGCTTTATTAACCATTTTCTTAACCTATTCTGCCACTTACAATGACTTACACACACAAACACCCAGGTCTCTCTGCTGCTTATGATGTTTAGCATGCGAGTTGTTTTGTTTTATATCTTCACCAGGTTGCCACATTATTTTTAGGTATGTCTGGTGCTGCTCCTGCATGCCATTCGGCATTCTTCATTGAACCTGTGTTGATCCCCTGGCTTGATGGTAATGGTTAAGTGGGGGATATGCCAGGCCATGAGGTTACATATTGTGTTGAAGTATGATTTTGCTGCACCCCTAAGTGCCTCACTGGTATCCACTGGAGTTGCTAGATCTGTTCAAAATTTGTCCCATTTAGCATGGTGATAGTGCCACACAATACAACGGAGGTTATTCTTAATGAGAAGGGAGGACCCCATCTCCGCAAGGACTGTACGGTGGTCACTCTTACTGAATACTGTCATGAACAGATGCAGCAGGCAGAGATAGCAGGAACTGCAGATGCTGGAGAATCCGAGATAACAAGGTGCAGGGCTGGATGAACACAGCAGGCCAAGCAGCATCATAGGAGCAGAAAGGCTGACGTTTCGGGCCTAGACCCTTCATCAGAAATGGGTGCAGAGCTGAATTCATTTCTGATGAAGGGTCTAGGCCCGAAACGTCAGCCTTTCTGCTCCTATGATGCTGCTTGGCCTGCTGTGTTCATCCAGCTCTGCACCTTGTTGTCTTGATTCTCCAGCATCTGCAGTTCCTGCTATCTCCATTTCTGATGAAAGATGCAGCAGGCAGATTGGTAAGGATGAGGTCAAGTATGTTTTTCCCTCTTGTTGATTCTGTCACCACCTGCCAAAGACCCAGTCTAGCAGTTATGTCCTTTAGGACCTTACCAGCTCGATCAGTTTTGCTGTTGTCAAGCTACTCATGGTGGAGACATTGAAGCCCCCCCACCCTACCCAAAGTGCATTTGGTGCCCTTGAACACCTCAATGCTTCCTCCATGTGGTTTTCAAAATGGAGGAACACTAATTCATAAGCTGAGGGATGATGCTACGTGGTAATCAGCAGGAGGTTTCCTTGCCCTGGTGCCAAGATCTCTGGAGTCAATGCTTTTGGACTCCCTGACTGTATTCTACGGTGTTGCCATCTCTACTGGGCCTGTCCTTTCAGAGGCACGTAGCTTGCTAGGTTATTTCAGTTTAGCAAATAATACCACTCCTCAACGCCTCCGCTTCTCTCCTCTGAATTTCATCCGGTACTTGTCTTTCCAGTACATTAACTTGTCTATCTGTTCAAGCTCTGTACAAATCTGCTCCGAGGTCACAATGCTTCCAAGGTACGTATCATCCATAAAATGTGAAATTGTGCCATGTATACCAAGGTCTAGGTCTAAGGGGGTAATGTGCTCTTACGAGCAGCATGGCCTTGTCTGTTGTACTTTAAATTGTTGAATGGACATCACATGCCTCTAAAACAGTGTTAGTTTGGAGAAAATTTGTCATCATCAGATCCTTCCTCAAAGCACCCAGGTCTGCCTCTCCATTATTGCAAACAGCTTCCCCTTTCCATTCCAAGTTCTTGAGATCACCTCTCAATTCAGCGCCATCTTTCCCAGATCTCCAAGTTTGAACCTTCCAATCAGATATCCCACCAAAATACTGAATGAGTCTTGTTAAGGTCACAAATGGCACCCTTGTCATCAATACAGTGGGAAACTGCCTCTCCCTATTCTGCTCTACCTACCTAAACCCAAACTGTAACCTTCCTTTCACCTTGATTTTACAACAAGATCTGCCATCTTATTATAGGTAAGGCTTTAATTGCCAGCTTTCCTCACGAACAAACTGCAGGATTTCAAAGCTGTTTTAAAATTAAAAACTGTTTAAATGTCCGTTGACACCATTCATCGTGTTATCCAATGGGAATTCAGGTATGACTGGGAACTCATTTTAGAAATGTAAGCAAAATATCAGTCTTTCAAATCTCTACAAAATTTGAGACAGAATTGGACTCAATCAGTCAGAGTATTTCCCTCTGTGTCACATTACCTGAGGACGAATGCAATGTAGCTGTTATGGCTTTTCCCTGACCTCGAAGTGCTGCTTACTGACCCAGCTGAATTGCCAAAGGCCGAGTGACATGCACGACTGTCAATATATGTGTTGTTACACAATGACTGCTTGGAACAAAAGACATGAAGAAATAAACATTATTTTGTTTCATTTCAAATCAACCATTTCATGCAACTGTTCAAACATTGAGAAGTGCATCTCACTTATGGAAAAATGTACTATTTGGCAGAAGAGAAACGACATCTTTGTTCTGTTACAAGAAAATAACACTTGGATCAATTCTTCAAATCTAGCAAGGACAGATGTTCATTCCAGATGTTTGTAAACATATGGTTAACAACACATTCAGTGAACGTACTTTCACCTCCAGTCATGTTTTTATAAAGTTTATTCATACCAATTAAATGTCTGTTAGCCTCTAAAAGGTTTGAGATTTTCAGAAAAGTTCAGAATGTCACAAACCTTTTCAATTTCTTTGATGTTAAATGGCAATGGTAACAGAAATAAATCACAACATAAATTTCAGTAGAATTGTCACTGAAAAAATGTACTAAGTGCTTCATATCATTTAAAAAGATAAAGTTGGGTGTGTGTGTGACGTCAATATTCTCTCAGGTTATCAATGGCTATACAAACTATTCAAATTTTGCTGGACCAGACTGAGATCACTAGAATCTGTGTTAAAGCCTTTTTATCACAATTCCACTTCCATTTTCAATATTCAAGTGAAATTCTGATAGAATACTTGTTACAATGGACTCGAAACTTGTAAAATAAAATTTGAATTTCAAATATCTGAACGGAAGGCTCATACAACAAGATTTCAAGTTTCAAGACTTGTACTACAACAAACTAAAAACAAAACCCACTAAAAACTAGGCAACTTTGTTGGCAACTGAAATATTAGACAAGAAAAAAACTTCTAAAGTGATCAAACTGTTCCAATAACCAAAAATTCCCCTGCCATGATTATACCTTAGGCTACCCTTTAGGTTGGCATGTAAATCATGTCCAAAACAATTTTTCATTCCCAACAACCTACTTCCAATTTCCTTTCCCAGCTTAGAAACTTCCTACTCCAAGATCTGGCTTTCACAGTGAGGATTATCCTGGAAATTCCTCCCTTCAGCCAAAGTTAAGCAATTCTTCCAACTTCATTTAAATCCTCATGGACTTTGTTTCCTCATTCTCAGCATGAGCTCCCACCTGCCTTCCACATAATGAATAATAAATACAGCATTTTCTCTGCTTAAGGTGAACAAATAGCTGTCTCTATCTCTGTGCTCCTCTCTCTCTCAGATTCTTGTAGACTGGTCTGTCTCTGTCAGGATGAGTGATATCTTAGAACACCCTGTAAGCCAATGTTGTTGTAGCTTCCTGTGAACTCTTCAAGTGGAATTTTCCCTTCTTGGGGCTGTGTGGGGTGGACATGTTGGCTAACTTGCCAGCCTCACTGCTAAGAAAACTAGATCTATTGCCTGGTAAGTATCTCAGCCTATAGCAGACCTCAACAGAGATATTCTGACTCCCAGAAACTGCCTGTTGAATCAGGAGCTGGCACAGCTGGGTCCTAAAGACTGAAAAATTTAGGGGTACTCCTCAGTGGATGCCGCAGTGAGAAAGTAAGATAGTTTTCTTCTGCTCCTCTTGAGATGGGAGGATGTGGGAGAGGAGTTTGGAAACAAGGGCAGGGCCTAGCTGTCAGGGACCATCTCCTCGCCCCATGTCCATGCCAAATTGGGGGAATCGGAGGCAAGTAACCCTGATTACCTGGTCAGGAAACCAACTATTATTCTAGCTTGGCCAGACAGCATCAGAGGAGTAGGAAAGTTGATGTTTCGGGTGAAGAAGGGTCCCTCTGATGCTGCCTGGCCTGCTGTGTTCCTCCAGCTCCACACTGTGTTACCCCTGACTCCAGCATCGGCAGTTCTTACTATCTCTGAGTGAGTTATTTTTCCAGCCGGCTAGGAAGGCAGGTAATCGAGAAGGTTGCAAGTTGACGCCCTTAGGTGGTCAGTGATTGACCACTTAAAGATTTTAGGGTAATAGAGTTTTTAACAGTGCTCAAAATGACATTCAACTCATTGTGCTCATGTCAGTCATCAAGCATTTACCTGTTCTAATTGCATTTTCCAGCACTTGGCCTGTAGCCTTGTATGCTATGTTAATTCAAGTTTCTTTTTATTAATTCACAGGATGTGGGTGTTGCTGGCTAAGCCAGCATTTATTGCCCATCTCTGATTGTCCAGAGGGCAGTTAAGAGTCAACCATGTTGCTGTGGGTCTGGGTTAGAGTCAGGGTCAAATGTAGGCCAGACCAGGTAAGGATGGCAGTTTCTTTCCCTAAAGGACAAGGGTGAATCAGATGGGTTTTCCTCCGACAAATGAGAGTGGATTTATGGTCATGATTAGACTCAACTCCTGTTTTTATTGAATTCAAATTCCATGGCAGGATTTGAACCCAGGTCCCCGGGACATCATCTGGGTGTCTGGATTAATAGCTCAGCTACAATACAACTAAGCTGTCACCTCCCTGCTCGTCTAAATACTTCTTAAATGTCTTGAGGATTCCTACATTTACCACCCGTTTAGGTAGTGACTTCCAGATACCCAGCACCCTCTGGGTGAAAATTCTTTTCTGAAGGTTCCCAGTGGACCTTTTCACCCAGATCTTCATTGGTGAAGTGTTGAGAAAGAGTGAGCATCTCTCCAGGGCTGACTCGCTCAATTATTTCCACTGCTCACTATTTCAAAGAAGGGGGAAAATTCCATCATTCCCCTCTCAAAGCTAATCTCCACAGCAATGTGAATCACATAGGTCATTAATTGAGGTAGAAATGCTGCTTAGCTGTTCCCTAGACATCTAACTTCAACCTATCTTTGGAATTAATCAGAATTTGAAAAATAACCATTTTTAATGTCTCCCTGTAATTTGGAAGTGAACAGTCTACCCACAACCAGTATGTTCCTGCTACTACTTACAGGGGTGAACATCTTTACCTTCTTCCCAACAAAACAACCTGAGCTTCCCTTTAACTCTTAACAAGCAAGACAGCCAAATTTGTTGCTGGGCAGAATACAGGTCACATTCTCCTTCCGTTTTAATCCAAATTACAGAGACAGCCCCAAAAACATAAACTTTTTATTGTATTTGTAACAAATGATTTTGGCAAGAGTACTTTATTCACAGAAAAGTGAAATATCATTAGACTAGATTTTATTGGACATTTTTCAGCTGGAAGTAAGAAGTAAATACACAAGAAAAAGAAAAAAGTTACTAACTGATGCCAATGTTGATTTTGTTGTGCCAACAGTGTCATCTGTGTGCTTCTTACTGAAAACATACTTAAAAGCTTTTCTTACTTCATTGTTGAGGATGCAACGGATGAAAATAAATGGACCCTGCAAGCAAGAAAGTTATTAATACAAACTAACAAGCTGGTTTCCACAATAAAAGCACTGTAGTACTTCTCATTTCACAATTTTGTTCAAACTGATAAATTACTACCTTTTGTCCTACTAACACTTGAAACATAAATATTTAGTTCCTTTAATTTTTAAAGGCTAATTTCATGAGTCAATAAGTAATCAGTACTATTTATGACTTTGTTTCAATATTTGCAACACAAAATTGTACTTTCAACGTTTTTCCTCATAGCCCATTGAATGGCAAACAAACGTTAGCAACTGGAATGGTATTTTTAAAAACAAAATAATTAATTTGACAGCTTTACCTGGAGACAATTAAAACCAGCAAAGAGATAGTGGAAAATAATGGTGTCACTGTTCACAGCCAGCAAGGCCAAGAACCAGGTTGCGCTGACAAGCAGCAGCACCACAAATGCTGTACGTAGTCCAGACCTATTAAAACAAAAATTCCAATCATCACGTTGATGTGCAACACCAACTTTGCATCTGCTTTTTAAACATTATTCTTACATAAAACACAGTGCCCCAGTAACTTATAACATAAAATTAGATGAAAATTGAATTCACTGAAGCATTATAAGTTCAGTACACAGTGCCATAAGGTAATCTTCATTCAAAAAGCTATATGGAGTATCTTAAAGGAGGAATGTAAGGAGAAGCAAAGAAGTTCGTGGGGGGGTGGGAGGGTGGGGGGCACAGTGGAATGGAATTCCGTAGCTTAGACCCTAGCAAAATGAAGGCATCCCATCAATGGTAGAGCAATTAAATACTAAGAATGCTCAAAAGGCCAGAAATCAGGGAGTTCTGATATATCAGATGGTTTGGCGCTGCAGCAAGTTACAAAGATAGGGAGGAACAAGACCACAAGAGGGATTTAAAAACAAGGATGAGAATTTTGAAATCACATACTGATAAACATACTTAGGAAGAAATTCCTCATGGGTTCAATTCTTCCATTGCAGCTTTAATGAAAAAGTCATGAAACACTCTAGAGAAGTTGCTGAATATTAGGCTCTGTATATAATGGGCAGCTAATTTGATACTGTCCATTTTGTATACCATCTGAGACAAATTTTCACCCCTAAAGTCTTGAGGACTGTGTTTTTCCCTCATTGGAAGAATTACATCCATATGTAGACTTTAAAATATAAAATGCTACTCAACACCTAATTTAAGGATTTGAAATAAGATCATATATGCTAGCATCCAGCAGTCATTATTTTGCCCACTCTATTTCAATATAAGTTTCTAATTTAAATAAGTACTTTTGACTTTTAATACTTTAGATTTTCTGCTCCTAATCTATTATTTTAAATTTAGTTACAATAACCAGAATTTTTAAAAAATGTGTGAGCTCATTAATGTTTTATCAAAGATTTAATCCAAAAGCACTTACACACTTCCTTTCTTTTCAAAACCTTGGTGCCCTGGTCTGCAGGAAGCTTTGGCAGACAGAATATAAAGAAAAACATTCATCTGCAAGGTAGAAAACACAATGACAACAACGTAAAGGGGTTTGAAAACGAGCATGTCAGTTTTAAAATTCAGGCTATGCCAACTGGGGAGACGTTATGGGTCAGCGAACACAGGGGTGATAAGGACTTGCCATGCCTTGCACAATGTGGAAGGAGCTTAATACAAAATAGGGCCTTATTATTGTCAAATGAAAGAAACCAGTTAAGATTTAAATGTGCAAAGGATGACTCACCAAAGCATTCTGCCTGTATGTTGCAATATCCTCTAAGTTTACATTTTAAAATATGCTTGAAAAGTGGAAATATTGAAATGTATCAAGAGTGAGCAGGAGAGTGAGAATAATCTGGGTGGCTTATGTGAAGTCATTACTATTGACATGTTGAATACATCGTTTGCTTCTAACCTGTCAATTTTTCTGATTATAGGAGAGACCATTCACATTGCCGCTACCATTGCTATAACAGGTAATCACAAATTCTAATGTACTGAAAATATTTAGCGTTTGGGTGTTAATGCCTGGTGAGGTGTATTATTAAGTTCATGTTCATTGTTCACAATCAACGACAGTGTGATAACACGCATGTCTCTTTTAGAGGTAGACTTATTTACTGAAGAACACATTTGCAAACTCACAGAAACCGCTGCTGTTATGGGACCTGCAAAGCTCCATATCAAAGTGTCATAGATTGACAACCAGCAGAAATCAGGATTACCATAACCCTCGGGATCAAGGCCAACAGCTAACCCTGTGAAAGAAGACACAACCCAAAGAGATCATATTTAGAACAGAACTATTCAATGGTTAAAGAAGTAAATTGAGGTTCAAGAAGGATGGAGGTGACAAAAGGCAATGTAGCATGGAACCCATTTCAACACAATTTGCATCTTTTATTGATGAATTTGATATCGAAGAATGGCCTTCTTACACATGCTTCTACTCTGCTACAATGCTATCTTGGATTTTTTTTTGGCTTATCACACTATGCAAATAGGGCAGGCTTCTAGAATTTCTCCATCTTTACTATTCATGATGATTAATGGAAATCAAACAAAAAGGTAATAACCTTATAGTGAGATTCTAATGAGCCATTTGCAGATATTGGGTAATATAGGTTGGCATTGTAAAATGGCAGAGTAATACTTCTCCTATTAGATCATACACAGTTTGTCATGCAATATCAGAATATAGCCAGACTGGTAGTAGGGTAGGATATCACGTAGGTGTTTCAATGTTATACATTGGAATCCAGTAAATGGGCAAAGCAACTTTTGACTTGCATCCTTGGGAATACAACTTTTTGATCTTCATATTTTATTCAGTATTTTCACATGCAGCATCATCAAGGCCCTTGCCCCAGATTTTGCAGTTCGAGATTACCGCGTCGCTATCAGTGCAGCCAAAACTAAAGGACCAATCACCCTCATGTTTAACCTACAAATAATTAGCTGTTTGTCAGAACCCTGGAATGAGTTGTTCACAGGTCCCCCACCTCTCTCAAGAGTATGACATACAGCCTCATAGCACGTCAAGAGAAAGATGCAGTGCAAGTCTATGAAAGACAGAGTTAACTGAAATTCACGTGTCCTTTGGTTACACATTGATCTGATCAATAGGAAGACTCGGGATAAGTGAATCAATCAGTTTCATGGGCTTCATACTGAACAGATAACAAAGAAAAACCAAAAGAACTGCAGATGCTGTAAATCAGGAACAAAAACAGAAGCTGCCAGAAAAGCTCAGCAGGTCTGGCTGCATCTGTGACGAAAAAAGTTCTGAGGAAGGGTCACCAGAACCAAAAGGTTAACTCTGATTTTTTCTTCACAGATGCTGCCAGATTTGCTGAGCTTTTCCAGCAACTTCTGTTTTTGAACAGATAACAAGTCTCTTTTAAAGTATTATTTTTTCACCTTTACAATGGCTCAAAGAAATAATAAAATTGACAAAGCTAAGTAAATATACTGAAGGTACAGCACTTGCAACAAATAAAAGATAATGTAAAGATCATTGTGGAATGCTTCAGAGAGCAAACAGTAAAATTTATGAGAATGATTCCAGGGATGACAGATATCAGTTACAACGATGGATTGGCAACACAGAACTATTTCCTTAAGAGAAAGCTGAAACATGATTTTAAAAAGATGTTCAAAATCATGAAGAGGCTCAACATTGGACAGAGAGAAACTTCCCATTTGTGGAAGGATGGAGATCAACAGAACATTAATTTAAGGTGAATGGCAAAAGAATCAAGGGTGACATGAGGAACATCCTTTTATACAGCAAGTAGTTAGGATCTAGAATGCACTACCTGAGATGTGGAAACAGATTAAATTGTGGCTTTCATAAGGGAATTGGATCATTTTTTAAAGGGATAGCAATTGTGAGGCTATCAGGAAAAGGAGGGGTGATACCAGCAGAGTAAATCTTAGAGGGATGGCAAGGATATGATGGGCCTAATAATGTTCTTCTATGCTGACAGCATTCTGTGATCCTAAACCATTCTGCAGACTAATTGGCTTATGCTGCATCCTATATAGTAACTTAGAATAGCAAATGTCCTATTGTTTAAGAAGAGTAGCAGGGATGATCCTGGAAATTACAGGCCTGTGAGTCTCATGTCGGTAGTAGGAAAATTATTGGAAAAGATTCTCAGGCACAAGATCTATATGCATTTAGAAGCAAATAGACTGCTTAGTGAAAAACAACATGGTTTTGTGCGGGGGAGGTCACGCCTCACTAACTTAAATCGAGTTTTTTGAGGAGGTGACGAAGATGATTGATGAGGGTAAAGCAGTTGATGTTGTCTATATGGGTTTCAGTAAAGCCTTTGACAAGGTCTCTCATGGCAGACTGGTACAAAAGGTGAAGTCACACGGTATCAGAGGAGAGCTGGCAAGATGAATACAGAACTGGCTTAGTCATTAGGAGACAGAGGGTAGCGGTGGAAGGATGCATTTCGGAATTGAGGGCTGTGACTAGTGACATTCCACAGGGATCAGTGCTGGGACCCCTGCTGTTCGTGATCAACATAAATGATTTGGAGGAAAATATAGCTGGTCTAATTAGTAAGTTTGCGGATGATACAAAGATTGGTGGAGTTGTGGATAGTAAGGAGAATTGTCAGAGGATATAACAGGATATAGATCAGTTGGAGGCATGAGCAGGAATCTGGCAGATAGAGTTTAATCCAGACAATTGTGAGGTGATACATTTTGGAAGGTCAAGTTCAGGTGGAAATTATACAGTGAATGGCAGAACCCTTAGGAGTATTGATATGCAGAGAGATCTGGGTGTGCAGGTCCACAGATCACTGAAGGTGGCAGCACAAGTAGATAAGATAGGAAAAAAAGGCCTATGGCATGCTTGCCTTCATTGGAAGGGGCATTGAGTATAAGAATAGACAAGTTATGCTGCAGCTTTATAGAAATTTAGTTAGGCCACACCTGAAATATTATGTACAGTCTGGTCACCACACTACCAGAAGGATGTGGATACTTTGGAGAGGGGTACAGAAAAGGTTTACCAGAATGTTGCCTGATACGGGGGATCTTATCTATGAAGAAAGGTTGGCTAGATTCAGTTTATTTTCACTGGAATGCAGGAGGTTGAGGGGCGACCTTAAAAAAGTTTATAAGATTGTGAATGGCATGGATAAAGTGGAAAGTATGAGGCTGTTTCCCAGGGTGGAGGGGTCAATTACTAGGGGCCATAGGTTCAAGACATGAGGTGGGGGAAGTTCAAAAGAGATGTGCGAGGCAAGTTTTTCACACAAAGGGTGGGTGAGTGCCTGGAACATGTTGCCACAGGAGGTGGTGGAAGCTGACACAACAGCAGCATTAAAGAAGCACCTGGACGGATACATGAATACAAAGGGAATAGAGGGATATGGATCCTGTAAGTGAAGACAGTTTTAGCATGGAAGGGCAAAATGTTGCGGTGCAGGCTTGGAGGGCCGAAGGGCCTGTTCCTGTGCTGTACTGTTCTTTGTTCTAGTGGAAACATATAACAAAATGACAAAGTATACATGGAATTTTTCCTGCACAAGAAGATGAATCATATTTCTTCTTAGCCACAAACCTTTAGGAACTTTGGCCTATTACTGAAGACAACTTGGAAAATGTCTATATTCTATGTGCAATACATCTAGCTCAAAAATGAAAACAAAGTCCTCATTTCCAACCTACTGCAAAGAACAAATACCTGTGATGAAGGCAGGGACACCCCAGCCAACCATGTAGTAGAACCTCATGGGGCCATAGTTGATATCACGAACCTCTGTTAACATGCGGTAAATGTGAAGCCCTTCCAAGAACATCCAGGCAAAGGTGCACATGTAGAAGAAATGGAGCAGAATGGCAATCACAGTGCAAACAAACTGTGAATGACAAGAGAAAGGACAAATGCAATGCATTCATTAGATATCAGTTATAGTTTCTCAGTACAAGTAGGTGGACGTCTGTGCACTGGAAGTTGCATAGTGTTTACAATACAGTAATGGCACACTTGGCAAACTGGTTTATGATAATCTTACTGCTCCACACAAAGCTCCTCTCACTCCTCTTCATCAAAACTTATCAAGAACTCCTTTCTGACTCATATTTTAAAATAAACTCTTTCATGGGATGTTGGCTTTGCTGGTTGGGCCGGTATTATTGACCATCCTAATGCCCCTTGAGAAAGAGGTAGTGAGCCACCTTTTTGAACTGCTGCAGCCTCTGCAATGTAGGTACATGCACAAAGTTCCAGTATTTTTGACCCAGAGTGAAGGAACAGTAATATATTCCAAGCCAGGATGGTGAGTGGCTAGCAGGGGAGCTTGCAAGTAGTGGTGCATATATCTGTTGCCTTGGCCTTTTGTAGGTGGTAGAGGAAGGCTTGGCTTGGATGGTGGTGTTAAAAGAGCCTTAGCAAGTTGTTGCATTGCACCTCGTTGATGGTACACGCTGCTGCCAGTGTGCATCATTATATGGAGGGAGTGAATGCTGAACATGGTAAATGGCATGCTAATCAATCAGGCTGCTTTGTCCTAGATGGCATTGAGTTTCTTGAGTGTTGTTGGTGCTGCACCCAACCAGATAAGTACATAGCATTTTATCATACTCATGGCTTGTGTACTGTTAATGTTGGACAGGTTTTGAGAATTGAAGTGGCAAGTTATTCGCTGCAGAATTCCAAACCTTTGACCTGTTCTTCTAGCCACAACATTTATTTAGCTAGTCCAATTCAGTTTCTGGTCAATGGTGATCCCCAAGCATCCTCAATGGGAAGACGGTTTTTTTGTCTCCACAAGGGTTGTACGGCGGTGACTAATCAAGATCATAAGAAGTCAGACAGATGTAGGTCAGCCGGCCCACCAAGTCTGCTCTGCCATTTAATGAGATCATGGTTGATCTGATATTCCTCAACTCCACTTTCCAGCCTTTTCCCTATAACCTTTTCCCATAATGATTAGAAATATGCCTATCTCAGCTTTGAATATAATTAATGACCCAGCCTAGGCAGCCCTTTGCATTAAAGAATTCCGCAGATTCATTACCCTCTGAGGGGTAAAAATTCTCCTCATCTCTTGTCTTAAATGGGCAGCTCCTTACTCTGATTACTGCCTCTGGTCCTAGTCTCTCCCAAAAGGGGAAATTACCTCTCTACATCTATCCTCTCAAGCCCTATAAGAATCCTATGGATATTTACTAATTGATGTGTTCAGGGATGTTATTACATACTTCTGGAGCAGGTGGGGACTTGAACCCATGCCTATGGGCTCAGAGATGTGGACAGTACCACTGCTTCAATAAGATCTATCTTTCTTCTAAACTCCAAAGAGTACAAACCCAACTTACCCACTACTTCTCATAAGAAAATCCCTCCATACTCAGAATCAACCTACTGAATCTTCTCTGGACGGCCTCCAATACTAATATATCTTACCAACAGTTGACAGATTGCTCATTTTTTCTGTTATGACATTATATAAAATAAGTAATATAATTTATTGCCTTTATGTATGAGAATGGCTGAAAATGGAATTGATGGTTAGAAAATATTAATTGAAGTTCTGTGGTCAAGTTTTATTTTCCAATTCTGTAATTTCTATTACTGCAGTTCATTAAACATACCACCAGAGGGCTCCATTGTACAATTTAAACACCATAAAACCACAATTCGAAAGGTTACAGAAATTATTAATATCCAACACTAAATCCTAATATTTATTTATCTTAAATTGTAACAAATATAATATTTCAAACATTTATTAAGCACTGTAATTATGGTCATTAAATTTGTTTATAAGGAATGAGAATTTAGCTATGACACAACACTAGCTTGATCATATAACTACATTGCTAAAACTTAAACTTTAAGTAATTCCAAGTCAGGTTTAGGAAAAATAAAAGGAAAAACAGAAGCACTTCCTCAGAGATTCTAGGTAAAGGCAATTAAACAGCCTTCTTTACATCTCATCATTTTTTTTTAGATAGGAATAAGTAAATTAGGCTCTCATTTTCACAGGTTAGTGAGCAGTGAGAACTCCTACAACATGTGCAATTAGACCCAATACCAAGGTCTCAGGGGAGGCAGTAGCGTAATGTCTGGTAACTAAGAACCCAGACTAATGTTTTAGGGACGTGAATTTGAATCCACCATGGCACAAGGTGAAATTTGAATTTAAAAAATCCGGGAATTAAAAAACAGCTAAAGGCAAGTATGCAATTACCATCGATTGCTGTAAAAACTTATCTGGTTTACAACTATCCTTTAGGCAAGGAAATCTGCTGTCCTTGATTTGTCTGGTCTACATGTGATTCCAGAACCACAACAATGTGATAGACTCTTAACTGTCCCTGAGATATTAGGGATGGGCAATTAATGCTGGTCTTACAAGCAAGACAATGAATGAATAAAAAGAACATATTACCATTGAGTCAAGGTGGTCACGCTGACACAATTTGACATTTTTTTAAATCATTCATGGGATGTGGGTGTCACTGGTTAGACCAGCAGTTATCATCGGTCCTCACTATCCCAGAGAGCAGTTCAGACTCAACCACATTGCTGCGGGTCTGGAGGCCAGACCAGGTAAGGATGGCAGTTTCCTTCTCTCAAGGACATTAGTGAACCAGATGAGATTTTCTGACAATCAGCAATGAATTCATGGTCATGATTAATTTCAGATTTTATTGAATTCAGATTCCACTATCTGCCTGGGCAGGATTCAAACCCCATGTACAAAGTATAAACAGCAATCTTGTGAGGACTATCCTTAGATTATTGCAGTTAACTCCATTTGATAAAACATCTACCACCAATCTGCTATATAGCATTGTACAATGGTGTACCAAAACTTTTGGGTGCATCCACTTTAACTTAAACTATATTACAAAATGCCACTGACTTTATTCAGTGTCATTGATTGAAGGACATGAACTCGATGTTGGTCAAATTATCCCCACATCCCATAGAGACAGTTCCCATAACACTTACTGGGTTATCTGCTTGGTTAATTCCAAGGACAAAGATGAGTTCAGACAAGAAGAGAGCGACTACCATGTTTTTACTGATGCTGTGCTGGTTTGAACGAAGGGTCCTTAGAAACAGGAGAATCAAGAAGGACAGCAGCAAAGCACTGAGTGAGACAGCTACAGTGGAGTATGTGACCAGCTTCAGAGGTAGAATTTCACCATTCTGAGGGGAGAATTGTAGAAGTAAGATTCTTACTGTAGTATAATAATACAATAGTTATTAAGTGCTATACTTGCAGCTCCTGGAATCTTATTAGCTACTGCATTAGACAATTTGTAATCTCTAGCTGTAAGAAGAATTTACAAATATTGTTCATGCTTTTATTATGGCACAGTATACAAGGTATTTAATTGCTTTGCACCATAAAAATTGTTTTGAATTCACCAGTATCCCATGTATATTAACATTTGGAAGATCCATACAATACATATGACACCTAAAGATTTGACTGCAGTTATGATTATATGGTTATGGTCTGGCAATTTCCAGAAAAATCCATGAAAGGCTACCACTTATTGTAAAAAAAAAATGTTAATCTATTACTAGGCAAGGAAATAAAAACAAAGCTGGTACAATCACCTGACTATACAACTTCAAGCTGCAATGTGGACTATAGAGAGACATCAAATGTATTTACAGATACATAAAAACTCTCAACGAGGAGTTAACATAGATCGTTGACTCATTGTACAATTGTAAATTGGTCATTGACCAGAACGAAAACTAAGAACCACAAATGGGAGAAGAGCTGTCTCCAGAATGCCACTGCCTTTGATGAGATTTGACTTTGTTTTTGCAGCTAAGAATGAGTCAATAAAGGCAAGCTATTCAGACAAAGAAGGATGCATTTTGAACCATTTGGAAGAAAATAGAGAGACATCTCAAACCACTAGTGGTGTTTTGTAATCAAATAGCTGCAAGTACCATGCCTGCAGAACCAGAAGCCAAGAATCACCTCTGTCTCTTAAAATCTGCCATCCTGCAGAAATCTAGCTGCATAAGAAAATCACAACTGCCCAACTACAGAAGTCACTGCAACTGTTGAATCTGACTTAAAAGTCTTAACCTTGGTAAAAAGGACCTGAAGCACCGGCCCCCAAAATTATACATCAGAGGCCTTTGGGGCTTTCTTCTTATCAAATGTTCTTTTTGTCTTGTCTGTTTCTGTTTTGATCTTGCTACTTTATTTTGTTAATAGAGTCATACAGTTTGGAAACAGACCCTTTGGTCTAACCAGTCCATGCTGATCATAATCTCAAACTAAATTAGTCCCACCTGCCTGCATTTGGCCCATATCCTTCCAAACATTTCTTAATCATGTGCTTATCTAAATGTCTTTTAAACGTTGTGACTGTACCTGCATCCACCACTTCTTCTGGGAGTTTATTCCACACACAAACCACTCTCTGTGTAAAAAAAAATGCCCCTCATGTCTTTTTTAAATCTTTCTTCCCTCACCTTAAAAATATACTCTCTCATCTTGAAATACCTTTGGGAAAACACACCTGCCATTCACCTTATCTATACTCCTCATTATTTTATAAACCTCTATTAGATCACCTCTAAACTTCCTGCGCTCCGGTGAAAAAAGTCCCAGCCTATCCAGCCTTTCCTTATAACTCAAACCTTCCATCCCTGGCAAGATCCTGGTAAATCTCTTCTGAACCCTTTCCTATAACATGGAGCCCATAACTGGACACAGTACTCCAGGAGAAGCCTCATCAACGTCCTGTACAACCTCAGGTAATATTTTCATCTCTTTTTATCCCTAAGAAATGTTCAGTAATAACTTGCAATAAACTCACTTTAAATTTTAAATTGAAAGCTTGACTGTTGTTTTACTTTAACATGACTCATTACAAGTTTAGCAGGGGCTACATGAGCCATATTAATTCAGTTATGCCAGTTGTTTACAAGTGCCAAAACTGCAGTTAGGGATCTACAATAACTATAAACTTTGTTCAACAAATATTCATAGGGTACTTGCTTAACAAAATAGTGAAACAATATTGATTAAAGAAAATCAGGTGCCAAGAAAGGCCAACATATTCAGCAATCCAATAATTTCCAGGTTTTTTTTCATCTTCTAAATCCTGGCCCAAGTGGATCAACACATCTACTCTAAATAATTCTTTTACACAACACTCAAACCCAAATATCTCCTGGTCATGGTTCGGTGGTGACACACTGGCTGTTGAATCGTGAGGTTGTTGGTTCAAGCTCCATCCCAGAGCCTTCTGGACTAATGCAGGATAACACTTCAGTGTAGTACTGACAACAGATAGTGGGCACTGCTGTGCACGATCATATAAAATGTAAAACTTTGGCCCCACCTGTCAACTCAGGTGGATACAAATGATCTTTATTTAAAGAAGATCTAAGTAGGTTTCCTGGCTAAAACTTGTCCTTGAACTTACATCACTATAACAGATAAACCTTGTAATTTATTGTATTGCTGTTTGTGGGAGTTTGCATATACCTGACAGGATGTCAAAAAAGATACACATGTGCAAATTCCAACTTTCTTTCCTTGATCTTTCCTCCTTGTTAAATGCTTCTGGCTTTTAAAACTGAAGGTTAATGCCATTTAATTATTTTCCTCATTAGTCCTGTTTTCTCTTTTATATTTTTCAATTGTAGGGGCATCTGAACGAGCGGCCATGGTACTTTGCTGCAGTTTCTCAAGAAAACAAAAAAGACTATAACACTCGGGCCACATTTTAAAGTGGCAGGGGCTGCGTCACCCACATCTATATCTCAATGACATTCACATGCACTTCAGGCTAACTATAGACTCTGAATGGCAGAAAGGAGGGAATAACTCTACAAAGTAACTCAAACAAACAAAAAGTACAGGAGAGTGGGTACAATCAACTTAAATTTAAATGCTCATGTTATGTAAAGAAGCATACAATCTGCTTATGAGAAACTAAACGCTGTTATTATTATACAACAACAGAATCTGTTATATTGCTAATGTGTCACAGACTTCAGATTCTTGCTTAATTATCCCATTCAATGCGAGAAAGACTGGAACAGCAATCAGAAGTGAAAAAGGGTGATACTTTTCTCCAAAGAGACTGACTTACCTCTCGTCTAGAAATGTCCATCAGAACAGCAAAGCTTGTCATATGATTACACTGGCAGCTGATATGGGTCTCGTTCCTGAAGACTAATTCACATCCTTTTGATGACCAGCCTCCGATTCCACCGACACTGCACAAATACAGACCAGAGAATGAAAAGAAGGGGCCATATAAAAGTAAGTTAATAAATATGTGTGTCACATAATATATTTCCAGATCAAATCCAAGACAGCATTTGTAAAGCAACTTAGAAGTAGTTTGAGATCTTATGCTAAAGATAATACACTGCAGACTCCCTACCAAACCACATGACTTGGAACTATATCACCACTCCCTCACTTTTGCTCAGTCAAAATCCCAGGACCCACTCCCTAGCAGCACAGTACACAGCGTGGTATGATTCAAGGCAATGGCTCACCACACTTTCTCAACAGCAATTCAAGATTGGCAATAAACGCTGGCCATGTCAGCAACATTACATCCCACAGATAAATAAAAAATGGTACTTCCTGTTAATTCATTACCCATATCTCATTTTAAAATGAATGGAACGAAAATGTTGAACCCTACCTGTACAATTTCTATCCTATTCATGACCTTGGTACCATAATTTTAAGCAAGTGTTCTTGTATTTGTTTTTGTATTTTGTTTGTGTACCCTATGAAAATCAGTTAAAACTATTCTGCGATGCTATTTTGTCCTTGCAGTAAAATTTCTTGCAATGATTATGTCCTCACCATGAGTTAGGAGAAGCTTTCAATAGTGACCAAGGGCTTGTGTCTTGTCAAACACATTGATCACATAGCCAATTTTTTTTCTATTTCCAATCATTGTGTAGAGAGATTGATGGGACAATCAGGATTTATTGCCCATATTAATATGGTGGTGAGCCACTATCATGAACCACTGCAGTACATGTGATTAAGGCCATATATGAGGTACAGTGTGAGATGGCTAGTAGATTTAGAAAAGTTATTGCCGAGCAGGATCAGTCAGATAGATGGGTGACTGTCAGGAAAGTTAAGAAGGTAGTTCAAAAGTTTCTGGTGGCTATTCTTCTATCAAACAGTTGAAAGGGATAGCCTCTCGCGGAAAATGGAAGGGCCAGTCAATTATTGGACTCCGAATGCTGAACTCAAATGAGGGAAGGAACAAAACGTTAAAGGAGATAAATCAATGGCTGAAGAGCTGGTGTGTTGTTCAGGTTTTTGGAAAATTGGCATGTCTTTTCGGATAGAAAAAGACCTGTTCAATAAGGATGAGTCTAACATATACTGGAAAGGGACCAATATCCTAGCAGGGAGATTTGCACATTCTATTAAGGGAGATTTTACACTGATAGAGAAGGCGAGTGGAGGAATTCTAAGTAGCAGTGTCAATGGAAGGATTGATGGCGTAGGTTCTGAATGTGAGGAGAGAACGTCAATTAGAAAAGAAAGACAACACAGAGTCAGAAGAACTAAATTGCATTTAGTTCAATGCATGTGTTCTTACAGGCATGCATGATGAACTCAGGGCTTGTTTAAGAACATGGGATTGGGACACATAGCCATTACAGAAACTTGGCTGAGAGATGGACAAGACTGGCAGCTCCATGTTCCGGGTTTTAGATGCTGTATGAAGGAAAGAAACAGAGGCAAGAAAGTGGAGGTTGTGGTGGTGGTGGTGGAAGGGGGGGTTGGGTGGGCAGGAGAGTGATGGCATTTTTGATTAAGGAATACATTACTGCTGTAACTAAGGAAGAAATTTCTGAAAAATTGCCCAGTGAAAATATATAGTTAGAAATTACAAATAAGGAAGGAAAGAGCATCTTGATGGAATTATACTATAAGCCCCCCAATAGTAAGGGAGAAATTGAGAAACAAATATGTTGGCAGATCTCAGATATATGTAGGCATAATAGGGTCGCAATAATGGGGGATTTTAATTTTCCAAACATTGACTGGGGCTACCACAGTGTTAAAGGTTTGGATGGTGAAGAATTTGTCAAATGTGCTCAAGAAAATTTTCTTTATCAATATGTGGATGCCCCTACAAGAAAAGGAGCAAAACTAGACCTTCTTTTGGGTAATAAGGCAGGGCAGGTGACTGAAGCAAAAGTGGGTCCAGCGATTATAATTCTATTAGTTTCAAAATGGTTTTGGAAAAGGGCAAGCCTTCCATAAAAGTCAAACTTTTTAAATGGGGTAAGGCAAATTTTAATGGTATAACACAAGAACTTCCAAAAGTTGATTGGAGTAGCCTGCAGGTAGATTGGAGTAGGTTGACAAGTGGGAGGCATTCAAGAGTAAGATGATGAGAGTTCAGTGGCATGTTGTTCCTGTCAGAGTGAATGGTAAGGCTGGGAAGATTAAGGAACAGTGGATGAATAAAGATTTTGAGATTCTAGTCAAGAATAAACGAGAATCCTTTTTTTAGATACAGACAACTTGGTTCAATTGAATCTCTTAATCAATATAAACAGTGAAGGGGCATTCTTAAGAGAGAAATCAGGAAAGCAAAGAGGGAAAATGAGATAGCCTTGGCAGATAAGGTTAAGGATAATCCAAAGAGATTCTACAAATATATTAAGAGCAAGAGGGTAACTAGAGAGAGGGTTCACTTTGTGTTGAACCCCAGGAGATGGGAGAGATACCAAATGAATATTTCATGTCAGTTTTTACTGTGGAGTAAGAAATGGTCCCTAGAGAATGCAGAGAGGTAAACTTTGAAGTTTTAAAAATAGTTCACATTACAGAAGAGGAAGTTTGGAAGGTCTTAGAGAATATAAAGATGGATAAATCTCCAGGACCTGATCTAACGTATTCCAGAACGTTGTGGGTAGTAAGGGAGGAAATTGAGAGACCCCTTGCAGAAATATTTGCATCATCTATAACTACGGGTGAGGTGCCTGATGACTGGAGAGTGGCCAATATTGTACCTTTGTTTAAGAAAGGTTGTAAGGAGAATCCAGGGAACCACAGACCTGTGAGACTTTCTTCGGTTGTGGGTAAATTGTTGAAAGTAATTATAAAAGACAATCCACCTAACCTGCACTGTGGGAGGAAACCGGAGCACCCGGTGGAAACCCATCAAGACACGGGGAGAATGTGCAAACTCCACACAGACAGTAGCCCGAGGGTGGAATTGAACCCAAGTCCCTGGCGCTGTGAGTCCCGTCCCACCCCAGTTTGACAACGGTTCCTTGGAAGAGATGACAAAGAGCTAGTGGAGCCCAGAGAGCTACAGTGCATCAACTACTACCTTCAGTGAAGGAGAGTAGATATTGGAATGAAACAATGTTCAGCAAATGGTAAGTGCTATACAAATAGACTCAGGATGGTGATATCCTGTCAGATTTTTACAATAAATTTGTAACTGTTCATTGGGCAATTATTTGGGTCAGACTGGTCCCTTTCCATTTGTCCAATATGCATTTCAAAATCAGATCACTGAAACTGTGCAAGAATGCAACATTCAGGAATCTTAAAATAGAAAATTCCATCTTTGATCTGACCCCTGGAAGAAATGAGATTTTTTTAAATCAAAGAGGCAGAAAAGATTTATTTAACTAGACTGAGTTCTTGTGGTACACAATTGGAGCTTGGAAAACTGCCTCTGTGTTAAGAAAGTTCAACCATCCCTTCAAAAGACCAGGCTGACCATTTTTGCTGTTACCAGACAGCCGAGCCGTTGTTCATACATCCATGCTTGCTGTGTGTGGACTTATCAGACATTCTACATCCTTTTCCCTGAGACAATCAGGTCTACAAATAACGAATGAGAGGTCTTACGGGATGGAATGGTTCCAGAAGACACAAATCGGCTTGGATCGTTCTTCAGCTTCAAAAAGCCTGTACTGCACTCTGATTGGCTTTTCCAACTGGTGCTGAAGTAACTCATCGTTGTCATGGACGGCAACACTTACTATGGGGCTGTTAATGACAGGTCGCTTAGGAACCCTGAGAGAGATAGAAATCAATTCAGAAACTGAATTAACAAATTAATTTTATTTCTACCTTTGCTACTATGCTTTACTAATGTGTGGTTTGAGGGCTCAGCTGGAAAGCTACTTACTTAATTTCCTTCCCCATTAAGGTTTACCTTAGACTTCTTTTGTCAGGATCATAATGTTCTGGTAAAAGCTGTCCCAGCGTCCAATAGATAATTATACTAGCAATGGCATCCTGCTCATTTGAATCAGACTGTCTCCGTTTTCTGTTCGGAGCTGTGTTTTCATCTTCAGATGAGGAGGTTGGCACTTTGGGATTTTCTGGTAAAGAAACCAAATAAAACAAGTTTATGCTTCCTTATAACTGCTATTGGAGTCAAGCACTTCCATAAGAAATACTGGTTGAACCATAAATACTGAACTCTTGTCTACTGGATTTTCCAATTTGCTTTATTATTTGGTGCCAGGAGTTGATACTGGCACTCAATTAAATAGATTATGTTGAATAATGCCATAATACAGGTTTACCTCATTTCAATGCTCCCTCACTAATGAATGAGAACAAAGTTTTGCTTTGCGGTTTTCTATTTTATCTATGCTCGCCCCATGAAGTTGCAATGGCTTTACAATAGTGTTATCCGGCAATGTTAGTCCAAGCATGGTTTATTGTACTTTCATTAGTAAAGTGAGTACTGGACATTGCTTCTGGGCAGGTGGGGCCTGGTTTTGCTGAAGGCAGTGAGGTGCACAGATCAGGTGGAAAAGTGTGCTGGCAACACACTGAGCTTGTCAACAAGACTTTCCCTCCTTAATTTTTGCAGGTAGAAGCTCATAAATAAGCTGCCACCAGGATAGCTTCCAGTCCCCGAAGTGCTGTTACCCTAATGAAAGGCTATATAAAAATTTTAAAAACGTAATGACACTCTGGATGGAAAAGAGACCCCGTGGAAGACATCACTGGGAGCTTGAGGGCTTTGTTTAAAAAAGCAATCACCCTGGGCCACTGCTGGGAGGAGGTCCTCATTCCCATGTGGAGAGGAGAGGTCTGGTTTCAATCTGCCATCGACAAAACGTGGCCACATTAATGCTTTACATAATCAAACTGGCTTCCTGCTTCCTTGTGTCGTAAAGCCTGTCCATTCCCTCGTCAGCCATCAGTGAAGTGCCCTAATGGTGGGATATGGTCAGGGATCCCAGTCTGCCATAGCTTCCAGAGTTTTTAGTTGCCTTGTGCCATCCTATAAAATTCTCCCCCATGATTTCAATGCTCATACTAACGGTTAAGGTAAAGTTACCATGGGCCTACAGGACCACAGGACTGCTCTCTCATTCGACACAGACAACTGCGGTGGTTTAACCTAAGTGCCACCATGACTCTGGCGAGGGGAGAGGTTGAGAAGGAGAGTCCTTCATGGCAACTTCAACCAGTGTGGGATTTCAGCCCGTGCTGTTGGCATCACCCTGCTTTGCAAAACAGCCAACGGAATTAACTAACCTCTTTTCATAGTAACACATACTGCACAAATTTACTTTAGCAGCTTTGTGTTGGCGAGTGATAAAACAAAAATAGCATCCAAGTTTAGATCATTGTGCATAACGCGTTGCATTGTTTATTGCTTGGTGATTATGCACTGGCATAGTGTGTAACCCAGAAGTAAACATGAGTAATAAGATATTGAGAGAGATATATGGAAAGTTCAAGATTTTTTGGCGATAATAGGGGTTTGATTTTTACATGAGATTGACTTTTATTTGAGTACATATGGCAATTATCAGATGTGCAGTATTTTGAATGGGACATTTAAACGGAGCCTCTCGTTGCCCTCCCAGGTGAAGTAAAAAAATTTCAAGGCAATATTTTGTGGAATAGGGGAGGGTAATAATAACCTAATGTTCTGACTAATATTTATCCCTCAATCAACTTCAGTAAAACAGAGCACCTAATCACTATCACATTGCTGCCTGTGGGAGTTTACTGTGACAAATTGGCAGCCTTACTTCATACATTACAATATTAACATTAACCACACTTCAAGAATAGTTTGTAAAGGGCGTGGAGATATATTGTGGGGTCCTGGATTGCAATATCTAAATGCAAGTTTTTATTTCAATGAACTGATGTTTGTCAATTTCAATATGTATTTTTACTTGCATGATGCATACAGTAAGTTTTTTGTCAAAATTAATGCACATAAACAGTCTTGCCTTAGTGACATCTATGGTTAAGTGGCAATTTTTGTTTAAAGAAGATTGTTTTAGTCCAGTGATCTGTGTCATCAATCATTTACTAACAGCCTAGCGATCAGGATCTGGGACAGGGGGCTACATCAGGGCCCAATAATGAGGACTAGAGACTCTAGTCCTGGGCTCAGGTTCATGTTGGCATTCCTTCGCTTGGGTCAGGGACTGGGGGTTGGGGCCAGGAATTGCAATAGAACCCGCGATTTTTGTCTCTGGGCCTGCTAGAAACTATTACGTTTTGAAAGAGGGCATTTAAATACAAAAAAAATTGATATGTCCTCTTACTTCATCAGCATACATTATGACCAATGATATTTTGTCATTCATTGAATAATTTTTTGCCTTATAAATCGGGCATGCAGAGGGAGGTGATGATGATAGTAATTTTAAAAGCATTAAAATTCTAGCGACAGAAAACATAGGAACACAAGAGTTAACATCAATCGCCAGAGGCTAAATATAAGCATATTTTGGGTCTTATTTTTATGTAAAAAGCAATTGGGCACTCGTGGAACAATATTGTGTTATTATAAGGCAAATAACTAACACCCTGTAGGTATTAATTTTGTAGTAGACAGAATAAATTCATCAGAAGATGAATTTCCTTGGCATTTTTCACAATCCACTGTCATGAGCTCAAAGAAAATCTCACTTGATATGTGGAATCAGAGTATCTAATGGTGAACAGTGGTGGAGCAGAACAAGCCCTAACAAAATTCAGTCCCATTAGATTTATCTGGGGTCACAGATTGGTGAAAATAGAATCATTATTACTCAAAGAAATTTTACCATTGTATATACATTTTTTTAAGTTGTCCTCCTTTTGGCAATCCGAAGTTTGTTATAACCTATTGGTTACTTTTGAGATTTAATCATTGTTGTTCAGCTGGTAAATTAGTGTTATATTACATGGTAGGGATTGTGAATTTATTTGCTTTAGCAGGAGTGTTTGATTAGTTGGTGAGTGGATGGGGAGGGGAAGTCATTTGCCTTTTATTTAAAACACAGTAAATCATTTTGTTGGTGAAGCCAATGCTTAGAAATATTACCAACAAATTTTGTCAATCTTCCCAATATGAACCAGAGACCGGAAACATAGCAGGGAATAGCAAGAACTGCAGATGCTGGAGTCAAAGTCAATACAGTGTGGAGCTGGAGGAACACAGCAGGTCAGGCAGCATCCGAGAAGCAGGAGAGTTGATGTTTCAGGCCTAGACCCATCATCAGGACTGGGGAAGGGAAAGGGAGCTGGGAAATAAATAGAGGAAAGATGGGTGAGGCTGGGGCAAGGATGGTAACAGGTGGATACAGGTAGGAGTAATGGGGATTGGTCAGTGGGATGGATGGGCAGATAGGTGGGAGAGAAGATGGACTGATAGTGTCAGGTCAAGGAGGTGGGGATGAAAGGGAGGGTTGGACTTGGGCTGAAGTGGGGAGATTTTGAAACTCCACTCCCGGCCTCATCCGATGCCCAACCCTTCCTCGTCATTCCTGCCTCCTTGACTGGATACTACCTGTCCATGTCCTTCTGCCCCACTGTATCGATGAAGATAGCAGGGGATGGTAGAGTCAGAAATAGTGCCTTCACAAATTATTAGCTTATTATTCTACTTCTTAACAGAAAATATTCCTACCTTTAGTTTCTGCAAGTGTAAAGATAGTCTCTGGAAGGATGGCAATGGTCTCCAAGTCTTCTGGTTTCTTTCCTCGGATGAAGTCATATCGTGGAAGTTTCACTCCAGAGAAGTTCATTTTGCGAAGACGATCTACTGAAATCACTGGAGGAAAAAAGACTGCAATTATCTTTTGATGTTCAGATATAATCTGCCCCAAAATTAAAAGCTGAGCAAAAAGAGCAGGGAAACTAGAGTCTTATGCTCACTCATGACGTTAGATTTTAGTTTGGGCTTCCTGCATTGAAGAGATCAGTAGTGGTTGGAAAATAGCTTACTGACCTGATTATGCAAATTGTCTGTCTAATATTGTACCAGGCCAGATGCCAGAGGGATAGAGAACAGCAGCAAATATGTTGCACCCTCACCTCACCAGGTTTTGCTGAAAATGCCAGGATGTGCTGCATTAGTTGTATCATACAGTTAGCCAGCACGCTCTGCCAATCAACCATCCATTAATTATAATGACTCCACTCTCTTTATTCTCAATAATAACACTTACTTTTACACTTGGCTCAGGAACATGTCAAGATCGATCTATATTAACATTATTAATGTTGTTCTTCACTGAGCATCCAGTGACATTTATGAGCAGGGTAAGAACTCAACTCAAACCCAAACTCCATCATTTCAATGAAGTAACTATAGGTGTATTTACACTGAAATTTCCTATTGCTGTCAAGGAGTTTCAATTGTTGCAGATACAGCAGTCATTAGGGGTAAATCTACAGTTCTGCATTTGTAAACAGTGGATTCAGAAAACTAGGATTTCAGTGCTATAATCATATTTTGACAAGCAGCCCTTCCGAGATGCATGCCCCTGTAGCATTAAAGTTAAATTGCTTTATGCCAACACTTAAATTATAATGTGATGGATCCTTAAATTATTGAAGCTGGTCCTCAATGTCATCTGGTTGAGGGTCAATTTTGAATATTAACTTTATCAATTGAGGTTAAACATATACAGGTGGAGAACATTGTTTGGATGGCTACACGTACAGAGACACTTTCAGTGGAGTTGAGTGGAGTCAGGGGATAGGTCCTTGTGATGTTTCATTTCACAAATAAATTTACATCATATAAAGAATGGCTCAGATTTTTGTTCTTCACCGGATGGCTACCAGGAGTAAATAACTTACACATAACAAAAGCTATAGTCTTCTTTTCTTAATTTCAACTATTGCTTCAATAATTAACTAGAAAGTTTTGCATCAAAATAAAACAAAATGTAGGCAAGTTATGCCATCTCCTGCCTACCTGGGGCACATGTTACTAAGAATTCTGCAAATGACACAACCTGTAAAAACTCAGTCCATTTCAGTCCATATCCATTATTTTTAAGTTATCTCAATGATAACTTGGTGGAAACTAGAAAATCACAGATTTAAACGTTCAGAAGTACAACCAATATAATCTCAATTCTGGATGATGAAATGATCCAGTGTTTGATTTAACATGAAGATACTGTATGCAAGTGGCATGCTGCTCAAAGATAAACATCTGGACAGAAAGTCCTCAGAACTGAGTTTAGCTTCTAATGACTTTGAATGTGAAAGCTGCGACATATTCTGAAAAACAAGAATTTTTGAAATTCAGTTTTTCAAGTGTTAAACATATCACTGGAGCACCAATTAGGTGCCATTGGTGTAGTCAATAATAAAGTTGATGAAAGAGCAAAGTGAATATGATACGGTTTGCAAATCACTTGGAATAAAATGAGTAATATATTCCAGAAGGTACTACATATTACTGGCTCAAGGTTGCCCGTATTCCAGTCTCTGTATTGCTCACCAATATTGGGTGTGACAATGGTGAAGGGGCTGAGGTAGGTTTTTCTCATGTTTTGTGCCAGAGTATTTGCATAATCTTCATAGTGTTTTAACAAGTGTGCAGTTCCTCCGTCTGATTGCTGGATTATGTCCCAATGCTTCTTGTTGCTGACATCAAGAATTGCACTTCCAACTTTAATAAGGTTCTGCAAATGTAACAAAACAAAATAGATGGTTTATTAATGAGTTATCAAAGACTGAATAAGTAAAAAGTCTTTGATTTCGTCCACACAGCACACCCGATTAATGTCTTTGTCAGGTCCATCCATCTGCTGAATTTAATGATAGGGGTTATGAAAAATTTCTTGATCGTTGTAGGTAATCAAACTAAAATTCAAAACAGGACGGTTCTCTAAAACGTTAAAGGCCTTTCTCCATGTAGCAAATTAAGATGGATCAAATGATCTCTTAAATTCTGTGGTGCTGCAGAGACCTTTGCTATTATGCTACTGTACAATGAGACACCTAATCTGGTAAATTCACTTTACTTCAGTTCTGCTGGTGTGACTTTGCCAACAGTGTAGTGAAATCTCCATTCCAGCATTTGCATTTACTTTGTTAATAATCCTCATCAATCCCACTATTGAAAGGTCCCTCTATTACAACTTGGGGAGACATATATAACATCAGATGGTGAACTATTCCATACCATTCTCTTGCTTTCTGGTGCCCACCTAGATAAAGCATTACAAAAGACCTGGATACTGTTCCTCTTGCTGCAGGAATTATTGAAAACAGGGAAGTAACAAACTAAATTGGCGACAGGTCAACCTGTTAAAAAAAACCCAGCAATAATCGCAGTTAAAAAAATGTTATCCAACTTTTCAAAGCAAATGCAAATAAGTGACTCCAAATTGATGAGAAAAGAAGTCTAACAAATATGATGGCTTGCCCATGGCTTTATGTTATGCTTGGACTCAGTGAACTGGACCATGGTCAAGTACTCAGTGGAAAACCTAGATGAGTATGTCACCATCATCATGGACTTTATTAGCAAATGCATGGAGGACTGTGCACCAAAGAAGTCAATCTGAGCATTCCCCAACCATAATCCTTAGATGAAACAGGAAATCCACTCCCTACTGAAGACCAGAGATGCAGCATTCAAGTCAGGTGACCCGGACCAATACAGAAAATCCAGATATGACCTCCGCAAAGCCATCAGGATGCCAGGAGGCAGTGCCAGACCGAGTTAGAGCCCAGACCTACCAAACACACTCCCACTGACTATGGCAAGGCCTAAACAACATTATGAGATACAAAATGAAACAGTGTAAGATAGCGAATAATAACACATCCCTCCCTGACTCGCTCAATGCTTTCTGTGCTTGGTTTGAGCAGAATACCACCGGCATGGTGATACCTGCCCCGACAGCCCCAGACACACCTGTTCCCTCTGTCACTGCTTCAGAAGTCAGATCGGTCTTCCTGGGAGTCAAACCAAGGAAAGCGACGGGCCTGGACAGTGTCCCCAGCCGAGTACATAGACCCTGTGTGGACCAACTGGCAGAGGAATTCACCAACATCTTCAACCTCTCCCTCTTACAAACTGAAGTCCCCACCTGCTTCAAAAAAGACCACCATTGTCCCCGTACCCAATAAAACACATGCAGTGTGCCATAATGACTATCACTCAATAGCTCTGACTTCAATAATCATGAAGTGCTTCAAATGGCTGGTCATGGCTGACAACTCCAGCCTCCCAGCCTGCCTCGATCTCCCACAGTTTGCCCACTGACGTGACAGGTCCACAGAAGATACCATATCCCTAGCCCTACACTCATCACTGGAACATCTGAACAACAAAGACACCTATGTCTGACTCCTGCTCGTTGACTACAGTTCCGCCTTCAACACCACTATCCCCTCCAGACTGATCTCAAAACTGTGTGACCTTGGTCTTGGCTCTGCCCTCTGCAACTGAATCGTCAGCTTTCTGCCCAATAGGCCACAATCAGTGAGGATGTACAACTGCACCTTCTCCACAATAACACTTAATACTGGAGCCCCCAAAGATGCGTCCTCAGCCCCCTACTGTACTCCCTGCACACTCACAACTGCATTAACAAATTCCGAACAAATGCCATCTACAAGTTAATTGACTACAGTACTGTAGTGGGATGCATATCTAACAATGACGAGTCAAAATACAGATGGGAGATAGAGGGCCCGGTGATGTAGTGCAATGAAAACAATCTGTCTCTCAACGTCGGCAAAACTAAAGAACTGATCACCGACTTCAGAAAGAAAGGAGGAGATGACGCCCCCATCTACATCAACAGAACTGAGGATGAGAGGTGAAGAGCATTAAGTTCCTCGGAGTGACAATAACCAAAGACCTGTCCTGAACTTCCCACAGGGAAGAAGGCACAACACTTCTTCTTCCTCAGGCAGCTCAGGAAATTTGCTATGTCCTTAAGGTCCCTCACCAACTTCTACAGTTGCACCATTGAAAGCATACTGTCCAGTTGCTTAATGGCCTGGAATGGCAACTACTCTGTCTAGGACAGTAAGAAACTACAGAAGGTGGTGTGCACAGACCAGGCCATCACGGAAGGCAACCTCCCATCCATGGACTCCATTTACACGGCTTGCTGCCACAGAAAGGCGGCCAACATCATCAAAGACCCATCACACCCCGGTAATGATCTCCTACAACCTCTTCCATCAGGCAGAAGATACAGAAGCCTGAATACATGCACAAGCAGGTTCAACAACAGCTTCTTTCCAGCCATTAGCAGACTGTTGAATGGACTCTAGCCTCAAATAATGTAACCTGCAATGTAACCTTATTTTCCTATAAGTCTTTTTGATCTGCATATCCTTTGCTTGCTGTGATCTGCCTGTACCACTCGTAAACAAAGCTTTTCACTGTATTTTGGTGCACGTGATAATAAAATCAATCAATAAATCAAAATACAAATGAATAAGCCTATGGTAATTGACAACTGACAGTATAGAATTAAGACTAGAAGCATAGACTGTCAATCTCCATAACAATGAAATTTCAAGGATAATTCTGCCAAATATTGGCAAGATCTGCTCATTTAAACGTTTATACATGGCATGCTTAGAGACACTAAAATCATAGATTAAGGTGACCAGGTCCCACTAACCACTTCAAAACCAAGGATTTGGTGTTAAAGCAGTGGCTGATTTCTTTGTTTTGAAATTACTGACACAAATGTTTTATATTATTCCTTGGGTATTAAAGACTAAGCAGATGGAGAACTGCAATGACAAATGCCATCTACAGAGGGCATGGTCAATGATTATTGCATCCCATCCACTGAAGTACTCCCATGAAGCACCTGCTAGAAATGGTAAATGTTTGTAACTATACCCAAATGTGCTTTGAAATTTGCCCCTCATTTCCATCAAAATTGTGGGCTTAACAATATTGTACGTTTTGTGGAACCAACCACTACCAGCTAATGATTGGGGTGGAGTGTTACCACCACTTAGAATCATAGAATCCCTACAGTGCGGAAAGAGACCATTTGTCCTATCGAGTCTGCACCGACCCAGTCCCGACTCTACTCCCACAACTCATTTTTCATGGCTAACCCCCTTAGACTGCTCATGCCTGGACACTATGGGCCAATTTACCACAGCCAATCCACCTAACCTGCATATCTTTGGAGTGTGGGAGGAAACCAGAGCACCTGGAGGAAACCCACACAGACATGGGGAAAACATGCAAACTCTGCACAGTCAACCAGCACTGGAATTGAACTCAGGTCCTTGGCACTGTGTAAAAGCAGTGCTAACCAGTGAGCAACTATGCCATCCACTTCTTGCTATACTGGGTTACATTTCTATTTGGTTAAGAGTATTAGCCAGGGAACCAGCAGTGTGTCTTAAGGAGAAGAGCACTCAAATTAATAATAGGTACCAATTGCTAACGTGCAATAAACTACAAGTTACATTGACTAGTTACACCTAATAATTCAGATTATCACGATTTACATCCATTAACACCATCTATACTTCCCACTGCCTCAGGAAAGCAGCCAACATACTCGAAGGCCTGTCCCACCTGATTAAACTCTCTTCCACCCTCTTGTATTGGGGAGAAGATACAAAAGTTTGAAAACACATACCAACAGATTCAAGAATAGCTTCTTCCCTGCTGTTATCAGACGTTTGAAAGGGCCCCTAATATATTAAAGTTGATCTTTCTCTGCATCTTCTCTGTAGCTGCAACACTATATTCTGCACTCTTTTCTACTACCCTGGTGTACTTATGTTGATATGATTTGCTCGATAGCATGCAAAACAACACTTTTCACTGTATCTCGATACATGTGACAAATCAAACCAAAGTTACTGGTGATACACCTGTCTCCACTGGGATCTCGGGTTAGACTCGCCTTTTCCCCGCCACAGCTGTATGACATCATCAGAATGGATAGAGCTCAATGCAATTTCCAACATAAACCCATTCAGAAGCATTATTTTATATCAAAACAGGCCCACTTGCTTGCTTAAGCACTACGATTACTTGGGGAGTGCACTATGAAGAATCTTAACATATCAGGTGTTGGGTAGGCCTCAACACTTGATGATGTAAAGTGACAACACTCATGGCGCTGAATGGATCAAAGCTCTATTAACAGCATCAGGAACTCTTGGTGTTCTAAACTCCTTTACCTCTGTGAACTGGACTTCCTGGGTTGCAGCCAAGTCAAATCCCTGCTGCGTGTTCTCAAATTCTAAGATTTTTGAGGTCACATGGTACGCAATCTTGACATCACTGCCGAAATATTCATCTGTGTGCTGGGTGGCATTCCGCAACATCAGGGCAATTTTCTTGGATTTTTCCATGTCCAGCAAAGTCTCATTCCTTTTCAGTTTATTAGCCTGCACGAAAGACACGTCTTGAGAAAGTGGCTGAAGCTCTCAACAATCATACAATTAGGGATATTTATGTTACCAAATTTTAGAGACCAATGCTATTTTATAGGCTAAAGGAAGGCTTAAAGTGAAATCTTTCCAAAGTCATTATTGGATTAAGTTGTCAGTAGGACTTTAACTACAACTGCTAAAAGAAAAAAAAATAAGAGTGATGGGACAAATTAGAAGAGTTCAGCAATTGGGGTTAAGTCTAAAATAACAAATTGTGCCCTCATCATGGAATGTTCCAGAAAAAAAGCCAACCATCAACAAGAAAAAAATGTAATTAACATATTTTACTTCTGAGAATACTATGAATATGAAGTTTCTAATCTGATCACCCTGACATCTCATGTTTCCTTTCTCCCTTCTCCCATCCAACAGGGACAAAGCATTAATTATGGATGAATGTATATCAGGTTGAGTCTAGCCACAATAGGTAATTGAATAACATGATCAGATTACCAGTTATAATCTTAAAATTGCCCTTCATTTTGTAGATCACCAAAGATAAATGGCTGCCTGGAAATTTATGATCGCAGACTTCCATCCTATCACTTAAAGATACAGAGAATGTGAGCACGGAACTACAATCATATCTAGGTTTAGTATTTTCCAATATTACTGCAACTATTATTTCAGGAGTTCCTCTGGTGCTTCATGTCAGGGAAGAAAGGAATGTACTACAGACATGGAAACATGAAAATTGTTCAAGGCCATGAGATGGAACAACTAACCCCAGCATTTTATTCATCTCAACCTTCTAAACTAAATTCTCCAAACTTACAAAGGCTTTCAGCTCTACAAAAGCATTCGTTGTACAATTAAAGAGATCAGGAGGGAGCCAGCCTCTGTGTTCATCACAGTGTCGGATTCCTGTTCCTGTATAAAACAAAAGAATATACTATCTCAGTGCCTACCAAGTACAGGCTTTGGCACAGGGTTAGGTGTTATCAAAACTGTTGTGTGGAATAACTCATGCACATAATTGCCTTGGAGGAATTGAATCACTTCAGTAACACATTACCTACTGGATTGAGTCAAATATCAGCGGATGACATTTGTGGCTCTTTCCAAGTGTAGCTAGATATAATTTGTATTCTTAAAATTTATTTTCCCAACTTAGATGTTTTGACTCCAGATGTGTCTCTATTTGTTTCAACAAAATATAGCAGAAAGTCATGAAACGCATAAAACGCATAGCTGCCAATGGAAGGGTTTGTACCAACAACAGATTGGTAATTTTGAAAGGTATTTGGTGGTGGTGAGGGGGGTTGGGGGACGTTGGTGGTGCAAATTTTACACCACCACAACCTCATCCCCTCGTCACCACACCTCCCCCTCACCCTTATAGCAGAGGTATTCCTAGGTAGGGGGGCTATGAAGGCGGCATAGTGGCTCAGTGGTTAGCAGTGCTGCCTCACAGCACTAGGGGCCTGAGTTTGATTCCACACTCAGGCAACTGTCTGTGTGGAGTTTGCATGTTTTCTCCATATCTGCATGGGTTTCCTCCCACAGTTGGAAGATGTGCAGATTAGATGGATTCGCCATGCAAAATTGTCCATAGTGTCCAAAGATTGGTAGGTTAGTGGATTAGTCATGGGATATGCTAGGTTACAGGGATAGGGTTAGAGGGGTGGGTCCGGGTGGGATGCTGTTCGAAGGTCAGTGTGGGCTTAATGGGCCAAATGGCCTGTTTCCATACCATAGGATTCCATGTAAAGTAAGGTGGGTGGCTATCCCCACCACCTCACACACTGTGTCCTCCATAATATTTGGGTAGGCAAAGCATCAGCCAGATCGCCTGCCCACAGGCTATTGAGGCACCCAAAACTGGCCAATTAATGGGCAGTTAAGGCTCTCATTTCATCACCACTGCAACAATAGGTGCATCTGGGGAAAGCAGAATGAAAAATGCCAGCCTGCTCCTTTACATCTCAGGTGAGAAAGAGAGAGCTCCTTTTGGGGGATCCCTCAACCAAGTTGTTAGCTTTCCATTGTGTCTCCATATCCCTCCCCCAGCCCCCTTAGATCTCCAAACATATTGCTCCATCAGTCACCATCAAACTTCTCCTTGGGCCTAAGTGCAGTACCGGGATTGGTCACTACTGAGATTGAGGGCAGGACTTCCTCTCACTGTAGGAAGGGAATCTCACAATTACCTTGTTCAGGCTGTCCCCAGCGTACAGTCACAGTGAGCTGCCTTTGTTTAAGTCAATGACCTCGCAATTAACTTTTAGCAGATGGAATTTAATGTGGATAAATGTGAGCCTATTTGTTTTGTTTGGAAGAAAAAAGAAACAAGTTAATATCTAAATGGGGAGAAACTTCAAAATGCTTCAATGCAGAGTGATCTGCGTGTCCGTGTGCATGAGTTGCAAAAAGCTAGTATGCGAATAAAGTAGGTAACAGGGACAGCAAATGGAATGAGTATAAAATTAGGGAAGTGTTGTTACTATTGTGCAGGGCGTTGGTGAGACTGTGTACAGTTTTGAAACCCTTACTTGAGGAAGGATATCATTACATTGGAGCATTTCAGAAAAGGTTCATTACATTAATTCGAGAGATAAAAGGCTTGTCTTGTGGGGAGACAGTGAGCAGTTTGGGACTACATCATTTGAGTTTAGAATAATGAGAGGATATCTCATTGAAGTACAGAAGATGCTGCAGTGGATTGTCAAAGTAGATGTAAAACAGACATTTCCCCTTGTGGGGTAATCTAGAAAGACAGGTCATAGTTTTAGGCTAACAGATGGCAGATTTAAAACAGAGATAAAGATGAATTAATTCTCCCAAAGGGTTGTGAATCAAAGGGATTCACTACCCCAGAGTGCAATGGATGCTGGGACTTGGAATAAATTTAATAGACTGAGATTTTATTGTCACACATATTGAGCATTGGAATACATAAGTACAGTGAAAAGTGCACATAGTCGTCATTCTCTGGCAGCATCTTGGTTACAAAACCAGAATTAACAGAGTCAAAAGATAAAAGGGGAAAAAAAAGTCCAGATATCTAAATCAAAAGTCCTATTTCCACAAATGTGCCTGGTACACTCAGTCACAGTGCAGGCGCCTGGGCCCAGCTACAGCCTGGAGTCTACGCCAGCCCATCAATCCCGCCCGAAGGAGCCGTGCTTTTGCGACCCCCCCCACCTCTAATTGCCGGGGGTGGGAGCTCCGCTGAGCGTGAGAACGTGGGAAGGAGCTACCCCACCGCCGACGCCACCAGTCCCCATGCCAGGACACACAGGAGGTAAGAAAGGCCCACTCTTGCTGCTGAATTGATCGCCAGGAACGGGGACCCAGGAGGAACCAAGACCCCCACCGACTCTGGCCCGCACTCGATCTGCCGCTATTGCTCCGGCCCAGCTGGACCCACTGCTGCTGTGGTAAACAGCCCGCGCGTTCAGCTCCTGCCTAGTCTCCGGTCCAGGAGATAGACAGATATTTAATTAGTAATGGATTAAAGGGTTAGGAACAGCAGGCAGGAACGTGGACATGAAGCCAAGATGTGATCAGTCGCAATTATATTAAATTGCAGAGTAGGTACAACGGGCTGAGTTGGCTATCCCTGCCTCTAGTTGTGTTTTACAAAAACACAAATTGATGGAGAAACTGAGCAGGTCTGGCAGCATCTATACACAGAAAGCAGGAGTGGAACGGAAACTTTAAATCTGCTTTCTGTCCACAGATGCTGCCAGACCTGCTGAGTTGCTCCAGCAATTTCCGTTTTTGTTTCAGATTTCCAGCATCCGCAGTTCTTCATTTTATCCCAGTTTTGATTTGATGTCCTTTCTGCTGAGAAGGTGGGGGTGGGCGTTGTGAGGGCATGACCAATGCACCCAAGCTTTGTTCATTAAGAAAACTGACACGTGTTGTTCAATCAACAAACAATTCTCACTTTTGATTTCAATAATGATTCTTCCGAAAGAAAGAAATTCAACCCGACATTCAAGACAAAATTTTGCCGTAACACTTATGTAAATATACACAAGTGAACAGGCAGAGGCCTATGCAGCTTAGCAACTACAATACACCACACAAGATAAGCAAGTATCATTGACTGCTTTCTCAGCAAAGGTTCAAATGGACAGGCTTATGTAAAGACACAGAAGAATGGGACAGACTTTTTAATGAGTTCATACATGGTTTGTGGGCATTGCTGGCTAGGTCAGCATTTATTGTCCATCCCCAAATATCAGAATGCGGTGGTGAGATGTCTTCTTGAACCACTGCAGTCCTTGGAGTGTATGAATACCCAAAGAATTGTTAGAAACGGAGTCTTAGATTTTGACCCAGCCAAAAATGAAAGAATAACATTATATTTCCAGGTGAGGATGGTGTGTGGTGTGGAGCAGCAGGGCCCTACGATGCCAAATTCAGCCAAATGCTGCCTTGATGTCAAGGGGAGTCACTCTCATTGCATCTCTTACGCTTCGTTCTTCGGTCCTTTTTTGAACGAAGGTTACAGCAAGGTCAGGAACTGAGTGGGCCTCACAGGCTCCAAACCAAACACTGTCGAGCAGGTCATTGCTGTGTAAACGCCATTTGACGGCACTGAGGATGACACCTTACATTCTTCTGCTAATGATCGAGAATAGATAAAGCAGTAACTTGCTGGATTGGGTTTAGCCAGCCTTTTGTGAATAGGACGTATCTGGGTAATTTTCCACAATACTGAGTAGATGGTAGAATTGTATTGGAACAGATTAGCCAAGGGTGCGTCAAGTCCTGGAGTGCATCTCCTGTTTTCAGGACCCAAAGCCTGTGCCTTGCAAGGGCCCTATGATACTCTGTGCCTTCATCTATTTCTTCATATCACATGGGAGTGAATATAATAAAGTTCAATGATAAGTTGGGAAGGATAAATATCAGTCAATGATTAAGATTCCAGACTGGAAAAGGACGGATTTTAGGGGTCTAAAAGTTAAACAGGAAAAGGTTGATTGGAAATGCATTTTGATGCATAAAACATAAACAGAATTTCCAAAGCAAGATGATTAATGTACAAGAGACAACAAGGTGCAGGGCTGGATGAACACAGCAGGCCAAGCAGCATCATAGGAGCAGAGAGGCTGACGTTTCGGGCCTGGACCCTTCATCAGAAAAGGGGGAGGGGAAGGGGGTTTTGAAATAAATAGGGAGAGAGTGGGAGGCGGATAGAAGAGGGATAGAGGAGAGGATAGGTGGAGAGGAAACAAACAGGTCGAAGAGGCGGGGATGGAGCCAGTAAAGGTGAGTGTAGGTAGGGAGTTAGGAAGGGGATAGGTCAGTCCAGGGAGGACGGACAGGTCAAGGGGGCGGGATGAGGTTGGTCGGTAGGAGATGGAGGTGCGGCTTGAGGTGGGAGGAGGGGATAGGTGGGAGGAAGAACAGGTTAGGGAGGCAGGGACGAGCTGGACTGGTTTTGGGATGCGGTAGGGGGAGGGGAGATTTTGAAACTTGTGAAATCCACATTGATACCATT